TTTAGAGAAAAAAAATGTGACCAGACTATTTTCCCGACGAGACTTTAAATTTTTCCCGATGGGGGGGCTGGCCATGCCCGACGGGGGAACTCCAGCCCCCCCTGACCCCCTACTGGCGCCGCTCTTGATGTCTTCGGATCATCCTCCGGAATGTTTCCCAGACCGTCGTCAATAGCCCATTGTGCAGCTCTAGTGCGACGTAAATTAGCAACAACAACAATTATTACTTTTTGTAATATTGCCTTTGAAACTCAAATCACTTTCGACCTTTGTGTAAGGGAGGAAAGCATCTTTCTCCCCCAAGTTCATCCTCCAGGGGACGATTGTGGTCTCACTGTGACGAATCTTCTCCTTATGTGGTCTTCTTCCCTCTCTCCGAAATACTACTTTTACTCTGTTCACCTTTTGGAATTTTTTTTCTCTCACAGCCCTTGAAGAACAGATTTGGGGAGCGTTTTAAAAACCGATAGCTTAATTTTTATTTATAAGCTTGTAATTTATTATGAAAATTATATTCGCTGTTAATGCGTTGCTTCTATGTAAAATTAATTTATTTAGAAGAAATATTATTCTTGTTTTTACTCATTACGAGAGTTGAATTTATTTTTTAAATATATTACTCCCTTTTTTGGATCTTTTTTCTTGTTTTATGAAGATATTTTAGATTTAAAAAAAATTAGCTTCCGAATAAAGTGAGTTTAATTAAATCGAGACAATGACTGAAAGATCTTCCAATATACTATAAAGCATCACAAAACATTCTTTTTCTTTTTTTTAAAAAAAAAAAAAATCGTGGACTCATTTGTAGGCTTAAAAAAACATTTTCATTAAATATAAACGTAAAGTTTTGCAATTTTTCCATTCCATAAATAGTTTTAGCTACTCTAATGGCTGGGATCAAAGCCGGATTAACCATTAAGCAAACTAAGCGCGTGCGTAGGGCACCAGAGGATAGGGTGGCACCACAAAATATTCACAATACATAATTTTTTTGAAACATTGCTTTTAAATTTATTACTTTGAGCATCCATTTTAAGAGAAGGGTCAATCATTTTTCTAGTTAACAAGTATTTCTAAGTGCGAATTTTTTCATAACAAAAAAAAATACCGAAAGATGTTAGGCATAAAAATTCTTCTTCCGATAATGAAATTAGGTAGTGATTCACATACTGCTACGATTTATGTTTACAGATATTTTCTGCAGTTGTAGCAAAATCAATACTTCAGCAATTTGATTTTTTCATGTAAAAAAAATTTGATTTGAAAGAAAATGTCTAAAAAATTTCGATGTAATGATTTGATATTGTAAAAAATGTGATTTTTTATGTAAAAAAAACTGTGTTATGCATGTCTGCAGTTTTTGTAATTTCTTTTTTGGTTTAATGTGCTGCACATTTTTATAAAAATATTTGCCTCTATTGTATTTTTAATTAATATTCTCATTGCAATTGGGAAAAGTAATCGGTAAATTACGTAAAGGTTGTGTTGGCACCTATTGATTTCAAAATTTTTTCATTCACTAAAGGAAGAAAAAGAAGTTGTCATTAAGAATCATTTTTCGAAATTTTTTTGCGAAGCAAAATTTTTACAAATATGATCACACAAATATGATTTTATATCGAATATTGACATTGGATTTTAAGATTTAAAATATCTACTATGTAATATGAATACAAGCTAATTTTTTAATGAAGAAAAGAATTACAGGTCTCATAGTCCTCAGAGTTTTGTGAAAATTACAAATGTTATAAAAGTTGAGCACAAAAGATGTGTAAATTCATAATGTGATCCGGATGTTCATTGACGATGAACAATACGTTAAAAAGAGCACCCATTAAAATTAATTTAATTTTAAAATTACATGTAAGAAATAAGTAGTAATAAAATCAAATTTTCAATCATTGAATTGAGTATATTTTGTGCATCTGATAACGAACTTTGTTAAAATTATAATTAGGAAATAAGAAAAGCAATGTAGATTTCAATTTAAAAATTAATAGTAAATTTAAAAAAGATATTTTTACTAAACGAATTTAAGAATATGTTTCATAACTAATCCTTTAGCGAGCAAAAGAAGATATTAACTTTTTGTTTTCAAAAACTTACAAGTAAATGTTATAATGGAACTAGAGAAGCGGCTTGCTGCTATTAACTTTCTTAATCATTCATCACTTTTTTAATTACCATAAATCATAACATTTTTAAGTATATTCATCTTTGTCACATTGTAGTTTTAAAATCAGTAAATGTTTATTGATATTTAAAAAAGGCGGTCCATATAAGGTAAACGGAAACTTTCCATTACCTCTATATTATACTGAAAAAACAAGAATTAATTTAGATTGAACACCCATACTGAACTTCAAGCAATATGAAAACTTTTTTTTTACCTTGACAGCTTACTAAATATTAATTATGCTGTCACTTAAAATTTTATTGAGGAATAATTTAGCTTTGTCAATTTTTATAAATATCAGTAGTTATATTTGTTACATTTCTCACTTTAAAATAATTATTCCTTTTCTTTATTTTTAAAATATGCACTTAAGAGCAATTAAAATTAATCTGCATTATAAAAAGAAAATTATATTTCTTATTCTTAAATTGTAGTTCTCATAAATTATAATTCTGAATTTTATCTCTGAATTCAGCTTTGCTTATGAGTCATAATTTTTTGTTTTTACATTTGTTATGTATGCAAATTTTCTTGCTTGTTATATTTTTTAGTTTGAAATAATTATTAATTCTCATATTTTTAAAATCTGTATTTAATAGCAATTAATATAGGAAAATAAAAAGCAAATATAGCGGTAGATTTGTGTGTGGTTGAAATTTATAAAAAAAATTAGTTACAAAATTTAAATTATATTTTCATTAATTTCATTTTTTCATTCATTTTGGTATATAAAATGTTTACCTCCAAAAGTTTGTAACTAAGTAAAACACCTAGAGAATTCGCTACTTAAAATGATTTGAGCAATTTAAATAAACAACCTAACTTCCAATGTGGTGAACTGGGTCTGAATTCCAGTGATGGCTGGTCGATGCGAATTTCTAGCTAATCCTGGAAGGTTTTCGTGTTTTTCTCCTCCCTGTAGCGCAAATGCGGGTTCGTTTCATTCAAAAAGTCTTCCACAAAGGCTAATTTTCTCCCAATACTTGATCGAGAAGTTCTCTTGTGTTTTGGATTGGATTTTAAATAACAGGGCTACGGTATTGGACATTAATATTCGTAAATCCAAAATTGGGTCGGCTGTTGAACGACGATTATAAAAAGAAATTAAAAGAAGATACCTTAGTGTATGAACATTTAGTCTAGGGTTTGATACCGACATGAGGAGGGCTAAAACAGGAGTCTTAAAATCATTTTTATAAATTTTCAACCAAATACACACATACAATAACTTAATTTTTATAAGGAAATTTTAATTCTACATCATTTAAAATTTTTTTCAATTTTTGAAGAGCACTTTCCCGCACGTTTTAAAGTTTATAACACTTTGACGAAGGACTAGCAAACAAATTTTTGTACAACAAGGACTGTCAATTCCTGTAATCGAAAAATTGTTATAACACAACTTTATTATATTAAATTTAAATTTACCTTTCAAATTTTTAATTGAACTTTCTCAAAACTTNAAGTTGGAAATTACCTGAACGACGATTATAAAAAGAAATTAAAAGAATATACCTTACTGTATGAGCATTTAGTCTAAGGTTTGATACCGACATGTGGAGGGCTAAAACAGGAGTCTTGAAATCATTTTAATAAATGTTCAACCAAATACACACATAGAATAACTTAATTTTTAAAAGGAAATTTTAATTCTACATCATTTAAAATTTTTTTGAATTTTTGAAGAGCACTTTCCCGCACGTTTTAAAGTTTATAACACTTTGACGAAGGACTAGCAAACAAATTTTTGTACAACAAGGACTGTCAATTCCTGTAATCGAAAAATTGTTATAACACAACTTTATTATATTTAATTTAAATTTACCTTTCAAATTTTTAATTGAACTTTCTCAAAATTTAACTTTTTAAAATTTTGCTTTCTTATATTTTAATCAACTATAACTAGATTAATTAAAGTTAATTCCGTCATTGTTTGCAGTGAAGAAATTTCCACTCAGAAAACACTTCTCCGTGAATGGCAAAGGAGAGGCATGGAAGAGAGATTAAAATAGCTTACATAATTTGTTCTACCAATATAAAAGAACGAAAAATTCTGAAGAAAAATAATATTACACACTTTTAATCGAATTCAAAAAAATTTTCGTTATTAAATACATAAGAGATGGCATAATTACTACTCTTAATATATATTTTAAGAATCTTGCGGGAAAAAGTTTTAAAAAAGTATACATTAGGAATTACAGATTAATATTCAGACAATAAAAAAAGACCAATAGTTTCAAAATCTGGTGAATTACTACTAAGGAATCAAGACAGAAAACATCAAAACCAGTTTGATTGCCTGACTTAACAAAGAGAAGCTTAACTTTAACTGTCATAACTTAGTTTTATTTTTTAATTTATCACGATAAAATTTTGTGGTGTTAATAATAATCACAGTTCGCATTCTTTCGATTTCCTCCGGCAATTAAACTGGCTTTAATATTTTCAGTCTTGCCTTCCTGAGCAGTAATTCATTGTATTTTGATGATATTTTCGTGATGCCTTATAGTAAATTCTAAGATGTTTAAGTCGTTGTCTCAATTTAATGAAGCTCACTTTATTCAGAAACTAAATTTTTTAATTTCAAAATATCTTTAAAAAACAAGGAAAAGAAATTCTAAGAAAAAGGGAATAATATATTTAAAAAATAAAGTACACTCTCAAAATGAGTAGAAACTAAAAAAAATATTACTTCTAATTAAATAAAAATTAAATAGAAAGAACAAATTAACAGCGAAAATAACCTTCATAATAAATTACAAGCTTAAGTAAAAAGTAAGCTATCGGTTTTTAAAATTCTTCAAGTATCAGTTCTTCAAAAGGATAATGATCATGATCGAGAGAAAAAGATTTCCATAAATAGGAGAATAGAGTAAAAGTAATTTGGAGAGAGGGAGGAAGACCACCTACGGAGAGGATTCGTCACTGTGAGACCACAATTGTCTCCTGGAGGATGAACTTGGAAGAGAAAGTTGCTTTCCTCCCTAACATAAAGGTAGAAAGTGACTTGAGTTTAAAGGATATATTACAAAAAGTATTAAAGATAAAAAAATTTGACCCACATTTTCGTGAATTGAAAAGATTGAAAAATCAATGGTATTTTTTTAAAAATTGATCATTCCGATTCTTAAACAAGAAAAATCGATTCGAAGTATGACAAGCCCGCCATAGACTTTAGATGTTAAAAGCAGAATCTGCTTGGTGCAACACTTTTCACGACTCGGGAATCTGACTTTTTCCTCATTTGAGAATGCCGTCTAGGTCTGTACGTACAACTGGCTGAGCAAATACGTATTCTCAATGCAAAAATTTTGACGCCTCAGCCCTTGGCAAACAAAAATAATAATAGTGGTGGCCAAGCCTCAGCCAGTAGTAAATAGCGATAAACTGCCAAGTGACCTTACAAAAGGCTTGAGAACGAAGTAGTTCATTAAATCAATGCCAGATGGCGTTGTAAACTCAACAGCAGATGGCGATAACAGCAAACTATTTCTAGGTCAGCAAAAAAAGTAAACTCTTTAACATTAAAATCTGGCAACAGATAAATGTGAAAAAGTATTGCATGGTAAATTGATATAAATTGATTGATATAAATTGATCATATAAATTGATCAGATTTTTAACTCAACCTTCTTTTTTTTAAATTAAATACAAGAATTTTTAACTAATTACAGATTTGACAGAGACACATTACTCCCCATCTCTTCTCCTAACACAGATCATCAAAAAAGCAAGATGTTACATGGTTATGTAATGAGAGCAATAATCCTCAATGAATTCGAAAGAATGAAGAAATATTCAGAAAAGAGATTAGATTTGGAATTCATTAACGTAAATGTCTTCCGATCTGATGAAATTAAAGACATTGATAACAATTATATTTTTATAGTCAATACCCAATGCGAGCAAAATAAAGATGCACATTGGCTAGTTTGCCAAAATGACGGACGAAATTTTATTTTCTTCGATTCGTTTGGTAAACATCCCCGTGATTTTATAGATGAAGAGCGTGCAAACGAGTTCGATAAATTTCTATCATCTGCTTTAAAAAACTATCCCCTGAAATATAACCGAAAGAAGTATCAAAACGAAGAATCGACTCTATGCGGCGGATACGCTCTTTTGTTTGTTTTGTTTGCTTTCCATAGAGCTACTGATGATGAAAAGAGATGGGGAGTATTATCAGAAAAGCTTTCTGACTTCCAAAATTTTCTGGAACATAATAAACGTATAGATCCCTATAATAAAGAATTATCTTACGATAAATTTGTCCGAGATATTATTCTGGAAAAATATAAAGATTTACCAGAAGAAACCAGGACAATATTGGAATCACAAGGTATATTTAATTCATTAACGTTTATGCTTCACATTAAACTTCTTTACTGGCCTATTCTCTTTCAAGTGGTGAAGTCCTACAGTTTCACATTTATACTATACTAGTGACAAACAAAAGAAAACTACACTATTTAAAGCAATGCAAATATAAAAAATAAAAATTTACAAATCTGTGCCTTTCTTATCTCTGTATGATATTGTATCTTTTCTGAGGAGGACTACAATTGTGTTAGCAGTTATCTATTTGAGTTGAGAAATAATTTTTCTCTTGTTCATATTTTTCTCTTGCTCAACAGCATTTCTGGGAAAGATAATAAAAAAGAATGAATGAAATATTAAAAATGAGGTCAGAGATATATGCTAAGTTCTGATTTCTGAAACTTAAGGCATGATGAAAAAAACAAAATTGATATTTCATGTGATGTGCACTTGCTGAAGTAATCAAATAATTTTACAACTATCTTGTGTTATATTTTTAGATATGTTTACCTTTCTATATTTTTAACAGAAAAAAGGACAAATTTTATTTGAAAGAAAGTAAGGATATCAGATAAAAATTCTAACATTAATGGTGCCCAGCCATCAAATTGGCACCATTAAGAAGTGTATGTGTTGGGATAGTTGTATCTCAACAGCAAATATTCCAAGCATATTAATATGTATTATCAGTATGTAATATATATTAATGTTCATCTTAATTATCAGTCTCCGTGAGGCTTTGTTACTAAATAAATCAAAGCTTAAATCAATTTACATTGATTGTGATTACCTCATTTATTTTCATTGAATTAGAAAGTTCAATAAAGTTACTGAAAAAGACAATTACCCATCCTCAGATATATCTTTTTACAAATCTAAGTTAGCTTCTTAAGCTAAATAAATGCCTATAGTTAAAAAGGACTCTGGATGAAATTTAGTATAAAAGTTTTGTTTAATACCAAAATCCTGATAATACAATTTTTTGAATATTTCTATGTATAAGATTATTCTAAAGAAGACAGCTATTTTTTATCAGAAAAGAATACACATATATTTTAAATGTATTAAACTTCTACAATTAAATTTTGAAAAAGTACATGAAAATGACACCTGTACAAGAAAAGTACCTGTAACTTCAATGATAAAAAATATTAACAAGATCTTTTACACCTTGTAAAGAAATAAGAAGAGCGACAATTAGTAGGCATTTTTCAATTTTTTTTTTTACAGAAATGAATAAAGATTCATCAATTTGGAATGGTTGTGATTAAATATTGCCCATGTTATTGTGTATATTTATTTAAATAGGTTATAGAAATTAAAAAATAAGTTGGAAATTACCAGTTATCCATAAATCAAATATGTCTTATAGAGGCTGTACTACAAAAAATTGCAAATTTAATGTAAATTCCATTGATTGTGATTGGCTGAATTTGTTGAAATTGAGTTTTAAAATTTCAATATAAGGTTTATTTTCTTTAAAATAACTCAAAATTTTAGTAAGATTCTTGGATTTAAGAAAATAATTTTAAAAAAATAATCCGCGTTTTGTTTTCTTTAACACCAAAACTGGCCACTTTCTCTCCTTTTTTTGCTACCTCATCCCCCAACCGACTTAAAGAGTAACCTAGTTTCTATGACAACGGCTACCTGCCTTTCTCTCCAGTGCCAACTTAAGGTGAAATGAAGTATAGAGGTAATCAATAGCTAGACAATATATTTTCCAAGAATGAATAAGGAAGATATGATTTGAAAAGATAGTTTAAATACAGAAAGGAATCTGGTTTATTTTTATGCATTTATTTTAAAATGTAACTCTTAGGTTAATAGGGTAATTTTTAAGTATACTGCCATATTAGCTGTGACATCAATAATTTATTATCCGGATTGTTTATAAATTTCTTTATATTGTTGGATTTGATATTTTTACCTGGAGCTGAGTTCCTAAATGTTTGTATATTTAATGACATTGATAATTACTTTTCTTTAAGATTATTTTACCCCACGTGGAATTTTAAATTACGATTCTTATAAAGATGAATTTATTAAAATTGTCTCGTGTAGTAAGTATATAATCCTATATAATTCATATAGTAAGTATATATAATCCTTATCATGATCATGAAAAGTCTTTAAATTTTTGCATTTTGTTAATGTATATAGTGTTTTAAAATATTTTTTGAGTGCTTAAAAAGGTGCTTGTTTTTTGTTGAAAAATTTGGCTACACAGCCTGTTCAAAGTATGACCAGGTGCCAGATATAAATAAGAAATCAAACAAAAGAGTAGAAAAAAAAAAGATTTTCTTTTTGGCAGTATTGAGAAGGGGGTTCATCTAAAAAAGAAGTGCAGAATTTCAATTTGTGAGAACTTCTCTTTTATTAACTAAAAAAGAGTGTTTAGAAGTGCCCACCTCGCTGCTGGACTATGATCAAGAGAATCGGAGATTGTAGCAAAAGAAATAGTCCTTTTAATCACATAAGGAACTCCAGTATAGATAGTCGCTTGATTATGTGAAGCATCAGAATGAAAAGATCACACTTCTCTGAACATATTTTTGTGATGAAGAAGTTTTTTATCTCAAAACTTTTCTTTTCATCTCAATGTTAGTTTGTACGAGAAAAAAAGTAATCTAGTAACTTAAGTATATTTTTATTCATAACACATGTTATGAATTAAAATATTTGTTGGTGTACAATTTGTTGGCAGCAATTTTATTAGGTTTATTTTTAAATAAAACTATCAGAATCTGTCATGTCAAAAACATCCCTAATCTTATTTTCAGTTAAAAAACAATTTACATTGTCCGTTTGAGACAGTGTTTTACTGCAGCAGTTCCCAATCTTTTTAGTTTTGCAAGTCACCAATTTTAAATTTTTTTTATTGTCCTCCATGAGAGAGAGAGTGGATTGACCATGGCTGTCTAAACTTGTAATCACTCGCCATAGAGCTTTTGAGTAATGGTACATATTGTTAAGATTAGCAAATTAATCAAAAAAACTTTTATTAAACCCTAAGATTTATCTTGATTTAGACTCTACCAGCTCCAATGGCCTTAGGACCATGGGCAGTACCTTACTACATTTAACCCCTGTTTTACTGAATTTGAATTGTCAACATTATCTTTGATCCTTAAAAAAATATTGTATTTGTTTGATAAATCTGAATAGCAGCTTTTTGCTTAACAAATAAATTTTCTGATAGGTGAAGTTTTTTTTTGTTTTTTTTTTGCAAAAAATTTATTTTGTTTTCTTTTTATATAGGGTTGTGGAGAGGTCTTTAGAAGGAAGAAAACGGAATGCCATTACAAATCTTTGTTATGGGTTTATTTCTTCACGTTCACCATATTGTCGTCTTCAATAAGGTTAAAGGTTCATCTGGAAAAGAACTTGTAAATCAAAAGATGAACTATTATATCTTCCTGTTTTTTAATGAGATAATGATGGACTATGAATATAATATTTTTATTTTTTCACGTTCACCATATCGTCGTCTTCAGCAAGATGGTCAAGATTTATCTGGAAAAGAACTTGTAAATCAAAAGATGAACTATTACAGCTTGCTGAATATATTTTTATTTGCTATTATATATCTTGGTTTCGGGTTTCTTCACTGTTCACCATATTAGTCGTCTTCGGGAACTTTTGAAATGTTGAATTTATCCTTGAAAAATAAAACACTTATCAAAAAATGTGTTAATAAAGCTCTGAAGCTTTAATTTGTAAAATGATGTTGCATGATTGAATGTATTTGTAATAAATTTTTGTCTTCAAAATTATGTGTATTTTTATCTGCTTTATATTTCTTATCTTTTAGACAGAGATTAATGTATTTTATTAAATTGTAGTCGACTTCAGAAAACCCTGAAAATTGGGTTGGCATGTCAACTGTTGATAAATTTCGTAAACTTAATTAAACATAAAAGGTCAATATATATTTCAAACCTTTTGAGAAAATTCGAACACTTTCTAATTAATTTATTTTAAAAATTCGTCATTGCAAACAGGTACCTAGAAGGGACACCTGTCTATGGGTGCTACCTTAGAAGGGGGTTAAATTTTCCTTACATAATTTCAAATGAATCCCAGAATAAAATGTGTCTAAATACACTAATACAAATCATAATTAACAAATGAATTAGAGAATTATGTAACGTACATATACATAGAGAATAACTATTTTCGAAACTCTTATGATAATAAATCTGTGTTATTTTTAATTTAATATCTGTTGTAAACAATTGGTAAATGAAAATATTCTTAACATTTTTGTGGTATTACTTACTTTTCACCGAATTACAATTTAAAAATTTAGACAATTTTATTGAAAATAAATTTATTAATAAGTTATTAAGAGAATAAATAGTTCAAGAGGTTGTATGAGAATGACATGTGTTTACAAAACTAAAATAATTTTTATGCTTAAGAATATTTTTATATGCATTCTAATTCCTTACATGAGTTTTTTTCTTCGAATATTATATCTTTTAAGTTAAATTCTTAAAAATATGACTTGTTTTATTATCTTTTAAAACCAAAAATATACCAAACAATTCAGTTTTTTACTTAACCTAAAATTTAACATGGACCTTGGAAACAAGTGACTGTTAAATCTGGCATATTGTGAGAGAGTGTAAATTTATTCCTAGGTTTGCTAAGCACTAATTTAGGAACTGCGTTTACCACATATTCAATTATATTATGTAAACAGCATTTAAATAGTTTATTCATTGTAATAATATTGCAATATACACCTCAAAAGTCCAAGGTTTACTTACTAGACGTGATTAAGATAGTCAATGTAAGCAAAGAATGAATGCTAGTATCAAAGCCAGCTCTAAATACTTTCAACCCAATACCAATCATAGTTGGATGAACTGATTAGCTAGAGATGAAGAATGAACCCACGACCTTTAGCACAAATAAATGGCCTTCATTTTGTGCTATTTTTCGCTTGTAGGAAAATTAAATTGCAAATATAATTACTAATATTAGAATGAAAATTGAATGGTGCCAGATCACAGAAACTGATTTGGACAGCCTTGCCTCATACAGAATGTAGCAGCTTAGACGAGGAGTATTAAAATTTAAAAACAAAATGCTAGATTGTATAGCTGAAGAATGTTAATACAAAAAACTTTCAAGTAAAAATCTGACAATTTATAACAAGACATGATAAATCACAGTAGAGGGTGTTCAGCCATGACTACCCTTAATATATATTTGTAAATAGGCACAGTAGGGGTTGCAGATTAAGTGAGAAATAACTAACATTTTTAAACTGCATAATCACTCTAGAGTTGAATAAAAACAGAGTATTAAAATACTAGTCAATTTAGAAAAGGAAGCTTAAAGACTGATACATTCCTTCATTAGAGAAATTGTAATGATTTTAAACCGTACTTTGCTGTTCTGAACTTTACAATGGTGGGTCTGGAAACTTTCTCCTCTAATTAATTTAAGATCGCAAGTACACATAATTTATTTTTAAAAAATATTTTTAACATGGATATAATAGAAGACTGCATAAAAATCTTACATTATCAACCAGTTGAAAATGACAATGCTTTAATGATAGAGTTAAACAAATATTAAGCCAAGCTGTATAGTTGTCTGAAAAATAATAAATTAAAAAAAAAAAAAAAAAAAGAAAGACTTGGAGGAAATTACAAATTAATATTTAAGTGAAGACAAATAAGTTAAACTGACATAATAAATCTTTACTGCGGAAAGTGGGTTTAAGTTAAAGCCACTTGATAGATAGTTGAATCTTGACGATATTTATAATAGTGGTACCTAAATGTCTTGACAGTAATTTTTTTCTTATTACTTAAATATTAATTTGCAAGTAATAATATATTTATCATTAAGACAAAAGGATTCTAAAACTATATATAAGGAACAGCAGCTACAGAGCATTTAGCAGATGCAAATCTAAAGTACTTAAGGACTTTTTATTCAAGATAAGTGCAGTCACAAGGCTGAACATTTGTTTCATAAGTCTTTACCTTGAAAAACCAAGTCAAATTTTCACAATTTATAGAGCCTATACTCAAATTTATCAATATTATATTTTCTCAGATATACATAAGAAAATTCTCTGAATTTTTTTTTTTCAAATCTAAGACATATTTTTGAAATTAAAAGACAGACTTTGGAAAATTGTATGTCTTTCGCTCTTGAGCATCAATGATAACATTAAAATAAATTAAAAATTTATGATATTATTAAATAATTTAATTTTGTAACATAAATTATTAAAACCGATAAATACTAATTACTAACATATGTGTAAATCAGATCATTCATGCTTAAATGTATTACTTATATTGTGAAAGTGCAGTAGCACTGCACCTTGTTTAAAAAAACTCGTTGGAAAAAAAATTTATATTCATTATTTATGAAACAAACCTTATTAAGTTAAAAACAAAATTTGGAACTAAACATTATTGCCTTTCAAAAATAATTTTTTAGTCTGAGAAAATGTGTTTACATAGGAAAGCTAAGGTAGACAAAATATTAAGAAATGATCTTAAAACACAGTAACAAAATTTCTTTGAATAAAAAAGATAAATATGGACAGTAATTTTTTAATTAAAACATACTGTGGGTGTAAAACAAATATTCATTAATAAAAATAGAAATAGTAACAAATTTTATTTACTTTCATAAAATATTATCAAGTCAATTACAGTGAAAGTTTCTATAGTAATGCAATACAATTCAATATTGTTTACTTAAACAAAAACATATTCACGATGTCTAAAGTTACAACTAAAGTAAAATTTCCTAAAAGGCTATTAAAATCTTCCCTGATTTAGATTTACTTTTCTAAGCAAACACAACTTAAAGGTTGGTAGTCATAAAATTTTAATAGTAGGTAAATGCTTACAATAAGATAATAAACATCAATCATCACTTAAAAAAATTGTCCAATTTTGGTTTGGAATTTAAAATGTACTAACAATTGAATGTCAACATAACTTCAATTTATATACACACAATACAGCCATGGTGAAAAATTTAAAATTCGTTAGAAATAAACAAAGATCAAATATGTAAAGAGAAATATAAATTTCGTGATCAACGCAACTAAATATTTGATAAAAGATGTAGTTATAAAACAAGATAAAATATATTTACTTTAATCTGAGAAATTTTAAAAGATTTAAAAAAAAAAAAAAAAGAATAAATTTTTGCTTTATAAAATTAAACTTTTGATAAATGGAATTCAGTTTAAAAAGTTAAAAAATAGACTTGTAATTACCTTTTAGCATATTTTTGCAATGATAAATTTATAGAAATAAACAAAGATCAAATATATAAATTTCTTGATTAACACAACTAAATGTTTGATAAACGTAGTTATGATAAAAGAAAAATTTTATTTACTGAAATAGGAGAAATTTTTTTAAAAATGAATAAATTTTTGTTATAATACAATTAAACTTTTGATAAAAGAAATTCAGTTTTAAAAGTTAAAAAAAAAATAGATTTAAAATTGCCTTTTAGTATATTTTGGCAATACTATATTTAAGGGTAGCTTCAGCTGAACAAATTTTTCACTTTGGTCTCCAAGTTTTTGGGAAGTTATGAAACAGCCCAATGTTTGAGCAATGTTAGTAAAATGTTTAGGAGTGACTCTTTTAAGATCCATTAGAATGTGGGGCATGTGAGCACAATAATTATCAATAAGTAGTGCCAGAACAATAAGATTAGCAATTAATTTATCTTTTTGTTGAGGTGGAAAGCTTCTTGAGGTACGACCACCCTCAGTTTTTGTAGTCAACGTAAACTTGCGTATCATACTTCCTTTCAATGGCTCTGGTATAAGTGGCGCCGGATCTTTTTTACGAATATCGGCATAAGTCAACTGGCTAAATGTCACTAAATGATTATAATATAGCAAATACTTCAGCTTTTCAGGATTCTGCAGATTTCCCTCAATGCGTTCCAGAACGAATTTACAGAAATGTTGTTTAGCAGTATCCTTATCTGTCTCGTATGTCTCAAGCCATGAATCCGCATGATCTCGAAGACTTGCTTCAATTTCAGGCGATATAATATCGTTTATGTCAAAAACTTCGTCAAGGGATTGCGCATTTCTATTTGCAGGTGGCAGGTAGGAAACGGTTTGTGGTGAATTAGCAAAAGGATCAGGAGGTTGAGGACTTGCACTGACAGAATCATCATTAGCTAACTCTTCTAGTGAATCTGTTTTCACATCCAGTTTCAATCTTGCCTTTAAAATGCGTTTTTGTGTTTTACCACCAAATTCTTGAGTTAACTTATTTCGATCTTCCCAATAATTTTTTTCAGCATTTGTATTTTCACTAACAATCGCATCTTTAGAAGTTATCACCGGTTTTAAAATAAAACGAGTGGAGTCGTATAGTTTCATTTTACCTGTATTTTTGTTGCGAACGCCTACAAAATATTGTAAAGCAGATGCATCACGAGAGGATCCGAGATACGATAAACGGCCATTATTAGCCATCAGTTTTCTATTTGCATCACCACTTCCAATCATAGATTCTCTATTTTCCAGTATGAACGATTCAAATTGTATCTTGGAATCAGCATCTACCCGACCATTAGTGAATTCAGCTATGAATACAGGCGCTTTCTTGCCGATTTTGGAAGAAAATTTCAATTTAACTTCATCGGGTTGCTCCATTTTAAATGTATAAACAACAGTTAAAATCCTTCATACAGATAGTAATAGATAGATAGTGATAATAATTTTAAAGCTTTTTATCGCTTGAGATCTGTAATTAATTTTTTTAAAAAATAGACTAAACTGTTTATAAACAAACAAAACACGTGTTTATCTATCGGTTGCAACCAACTAGTGAACTGGCTTAAGTCTCTATACTTGTTATAAATTATGTTTTTTCGTTAAAAACGTACAAAAAAATAACAATGTTTTATTTAAGTGAAGTGTTGTGTATCTTCGTGAAAACCGGTTGTTCGTTTATGAAAAATAGCTAATTTATTACATTTGATTTATTGATGGTTAAAGAAGTATAAATAAAAGGTTAGAATAATTTTAATTTTCTTCAATGTACAAAAAAACAGGATATTTATTTTGTTAACTACTGTTATTAATTTGTTGCTATTTAAACAGATCTACAATCCATGCAAAATAATTCTGTTTATTCCCTGTGTTATTTGTATAGAAATAAAGCTAAATATTTTTTATTTCTTCTATGAAAACTTATTTAAGCATAGATTTCATAAATTATTGTAATTTGGGGGAATATTTCCCATTTGAACCATTTTAGATTCAATATCTGCATCATATTTAGGCACTTTTTATTTCTAGTTGTTGGTTACTGATATTGTTGTTGGTGACTGATTTAATTTCCACATCTTGATTACATTCAGTGTAAGTCATTTAATGTTTGTTTGCATACAGACGCCATGGAGTATATACCTATTGTCTTGATTTGTTCTTTCCATTATTCAAGTTGTTCATTGGATTTTTCTACATCTATTTATGAATAATTTTAAACTGCAGGACGAACTCAATCATGTGCTGTTTCGGTTTTTAAGGATTATTATTATTAATCTTCATCATTGGGAAGGTTTCCATATTATGACTTGCAGCAAAATGATCTCCAAATCTTGTTAATTTCTGGGCAGCTGCAAATCCTGTTTTATATGTTCTTTGAAAAAAGATGTGCAAAATTTATTCGACAGATAACAATTTAGAAATATCTCTTTGATATTTTAATGTAACACAATCAGAATTCTTATTTTTCATAATGTTTTGTATAGTTAAATCATTAATTAATCTCACTATCTAAATTGCTGAATTTTTTAAAAATTATATGAATCACTGCACACTTAGTTATTAATAATTGATATACCTAGTAAGAATTATCTTATCAGGATTGGGAGCAAGTGATTAAATTAACAAAAAAAAAAAATCAAAAGTACTGTAGAACTCCAATTATTGGACATCCGATCATTTGATACTTTGGTTATCTGCTATGTGGTAAAAGTGTTATGAGTCCCATTTTATAATTATTACTACTGACATTAACCTATAGTTGTAGTAAAGATTAATCTGATATTTGGCTACTTATGAATTATAAATAAACAGGAAATAAAAATATACCATTTTTGTTTTTCTTCACTAATTTTATCATTTTTTATGACAGAAAAATAAAGCACAATTATCGCTAGAGATAAAATCATTGCGGACTGGAATGCAGAATTTTTTGCTTCACCTCGGTCGCTTTGGACGAAAAGGTTCTTTCCATCCATTTTTCACCGTTTGCAATGTAAATTCTTTGCAACTGATTTTAAATTGACCCAAATTTTAACAAACCATGGAAATTTTAAGAGATATTTATTTCGTTTCCATCTGCAGACCAGTGGAATTTGTGCTTGCGGTGATGCTGATGAAGATGCTGAACATATTCTTCTTCACTGTAGTCTCTATGCGAGTGCCCGAATGAATTTAAAGACTGATTTGAGACGTCTTTCAATTTGTTGGCCACCTGTCTTATCAGAACTGGTCAAAAGTATTGAAAGTCTTGCGGCCTTGCGGAATTTTGTTTTTAATGTAAATTTGTAAATTTTTCTCCTTTTGTTTTCTACTTACAACTGTAAGCCTCATGCTATACTTTGTGGTGCATGAGGAGTTTTAAGTTGTTTAAATAAATAAAAAATTTTTTTTTTCAAATTTGGTTTTATTATTTCATGTAATTTCATTAAAAAAGCAACTTTTTATAAGGTCTTCTAATTAACCGAAAGGTGTCCCTTGTCCTAAGAGTGTGGGTTAATCAGAGTTCTACTCTATCCTACATGTCCAGAGAATCAGTTGTCTGATTTGCCACTTCTGGAAGTAATGTGTACAACGACTGATACTTGTCTTCATGTTCTTTTGGACTTTACAGGATTATATAGACCCTTTTCTTATTGAATGATTGTTAGGGACAGACATTTTATTAATTGTTATTTTATTACTTTTAAGATTTTCAGTATTCTCAAGTAGTTTTATGAGATAACCCAATAATATTTAAAGCCAAGATTTTTAAAAAAGTATGAAATGAGGGACTTTTAATATTTTAAATGCAGCAAGAAAATTTTATGTTTAGTTATGCAAAAAAGTTATGTATGTATTTTAAGAATTCCAGAAAATTTTAATTCCTCTCTTGATGGTTTTATTTAATAACAATTAAAATAAAAAATTCAATTATTTCAGATTCGTTAAATATTAAGAATGTAGTGTAAAAATATTTGGCTTCAATACTTATTGCAGGGGTGTTTGTGCTCCGGAGAAACCCCGGAATTCCGGGGATTTTGAACTTTGATACCCGGAAATTCCGGGGATCGTCGNTTTTCAATACTTATTGTATTTGCATTTCAAAAATAATTAAAATTTGTTTAGCATTTTTTTAAAGAATTTTTAATACTGAACCAAGTAACAAATAAAAATAAACAATTTTAGAAGCCATTCACTAATTTCCATTTGTAAAATGAAATTTTTAGAGTTTAGTTTGCTTAATTCCTTACATATATATAAATTCGGTGTGATCAATTATATTACATACCATAATATTAAGAAAATATATTTATTTATGATCTCATTACCTTATAACAATATTTGATATAAATAAAGGAGTACTTGAAATTGGTAAAATGAGTTATTATCAAATCTATGAAAACTTAAGTGATAAACATTTAATTTATAAACTAATATCCTATTTTATACTAAAACAGAAAAACTTTAAAAAGAAAACTAAGTGCGTATTTTTTTTACAAACGAAAGAAAAGTAATTTTTGCCCAGATGCAAATTTGTATCCTCTGGAGCAAAGGTAGACAAAAGATTTACGAGACCCAGGGTAAAATTTGCTGCAGTCTTTGCTTAAGTTTGATTTTTCCTATTTTGCAAGCTTTTTTATAAAGATTTTGTTTAAAAATGTTTTTATGTTTGATTCTTAAAATGTAAGTTATCATAGATTTACTAAAATATTAATCTCCATTTTTTTGTGTTTATTTGAACTAAAAACTAAATATTTGCTGGTTTTTGTTTTTATTAAATTACATTAATTGTGAAAGTATCCAGTTTCCTTTCATGTTAAGCCATTAAGCTATAATCAGCTTGAAAATTTCATTTTAAACATATAAAATACAATAATAATTGATTTCTGACGCACAGGTCTTAACACTTGTTTCTTGCAAAGCAATATTTTACGTTAAGTGATTTCGTGTTAATGAGGTTAGACTGTATATATTTATTGATATTCCTTTAATGGCTCAAATTTATAATTTTTACCTTAATTTATCATCATTATTATTTATATTTTTGGTTTCAATTTTCAAATTAGTATTATTTATAAACATTAATGTTTACATTTCCCATTTTAGTTCTTAACATGGGTGATGTTACTAAATCATTTTTGTATGCCTGGTGTGGTAAAAATAAAAGTACCCCATCATATGAAGTCAGAAATTCTGGTGGCAAAAATAGGCCAAGGTTTTTGTGTGAGGTACAGTATACCTTTAATTTGTTTATAGATTTGCAATAATTTTTCTGTTTGAATAAACCTATTTAAGAGTATGTATTTTTTAGTTTATTTTGTAATCAAAGTTATGTTTGGATAATTTGTAAATAATGTACCACTTTATTTTGTATGACAAAGAATAAAATGTGCTTAGTTTTGTTGTTCTTTACTTTACAATTCGGCAAAAGCATTGCTTTATAATTTTGTATTGAAGAAAACATTTTTTTATTTTTTATCTTGTGATTGTTTTTCAAATCATAATTGTGTTTTTAGAAATATTAGGGCAAAAAAAAAAAAAACTTTCTCTTACAAATTATTTTTGTTCTCAAATAACTTCTCCTTTTCTCTGTTCGCTAAGCAGCTGAAAGAAGTAGCTACTTGTTGGGTATCCGCGCACCTGGAAAGTCGTATTGAACAAAATTTGTCTTGAAATGTCATGATTTTAACTATTTTTTTAAGGAAAATAATGAAAAGTCCGGACTTTAGATTGCTGAAAAATCTAATTTTTAAAATGGAATTTAAAAATAGCCCCCCCCCTATTTCATGGTGCTCTGAATATCTGAATTTGTAATAAAATCCCCACTCACAGACATATTTTATTATAATATAAAACGTTTTTATCTTGTTCTTTAAAAAGTTATTGTGCTCTTTCAAAAAATGAAGGAAAAAACATTACTAGAGCAAATTATCTTTTATCTTCTGTGATTTCAGAATTTTTGTTATTATTTTATTAATTTAAAATTCAGCTGAAGCAAGCCAGTCATTGGCGAATTTTTTTCTATTCTGAATTGAGAGCAGAAAAATCGAAGAGTATTTCTTTCCTTTCCGATGAACAAGAAAAGTATCTTTAGAATATAATTCTGCAGTAAAAAATTATTTGCTTTTGTATTTTTTTCAGCTATTTTATTTGCTATTTTTTCAACTCTTTTTTTTTTTTTTTNTTTTGTTAAAAAATTTGATTTTTTTTTTTTTTTTTTTTTTTTAAATTTAAAGTCTTTAAATATGAAGATGCATAGCATAACAGTTTTGGTTATACCTATCATTTCAATTTATGTTATTATAATGCTTTTTTAAACTTCTTGTGTTTTGTCGGAGAAAATAGTAACTTCGTTAAGTCATGAAAAATTCTAGGAATTAGTCATGGAAAGTCACGAATTTGAAAATCTAAAATGTAGCAGATACCCTGTACTTTCTAAAAGGGAAAAACAAATTTTTGATTATATTTTAACTCTAGTGTGTTATAAAAGTTTTAAAACATCCAGGTTTGTAGAAATTATTTAAGAAATATAATTAAAATCTTTACTTAGAGGAAAAATTAAGTTTACCAAGGTCTCTTCTGGGTATTTGAAATAGTTTTATATAATCTTTCTGACTAGTTTTATATAATCTTATAGTTATTAGTTTCCTGAAAAATATTTTTGGACATACTTAGTTAAATTTTGTTACTAGGAAATTATTTGAAAAGTTATTGATTTTTTAAAATTAATGCATATTCATTGCTTTTATATTGTAGGTAACTGTTCCTGGGTTTTCATATGTTGGTGTTGGCAATTCTACAAACAAAAAGGATGCTCAGACTAATGCTGCGAGAGACTTCCTATCTTTTCTTGTTCGAGAAGGAAAATTATCACAATCAGAGGTTCCTATTGAACTACCTGTAAGTTTAATAACCTTTTAACTTTATTATTCATATATTTGCTCTCTTATTTTAGTGCCATTTCATCACTTACTAGAGAATAGATGCAAAATTTCTATTTTCAATTTAACTATTAGGTATTATGTCAAATTCAAAATAAAGTTACATTGGATTATTAATTATCATTAATATGAAGTATAAAAATAATTTATTTTTAGAGTTGGAAATTGATAATTTTTTTTTTATTAGAAGTTACTGTTAAATTAAAATGTAAAGCTGACAAATTTTGCAAAGAATTTGCTGGTTCACATTTTTTTAGAAAGAATTTTGCATGTGTGATAAACCATAATGAACTTGTATTATTTCATTTATACTTATTTCTTTCAAACATATATATTATACCCTTATATATATATGTAACATAAAAAGCTTCTATTAATTTTTTTATGTTATCCCAATTAAGTATTCTAATCGAAATACTTTCTCACACTTTTAAAAGCCACATCCTGTTCTTAAATCTGTTTTTGGCTCAAGTATGCATTTAATAAAAAGCATGACATTTTCCCCTTTGCACTCTGTGGGAAACACTCAATCTATTTGATAAACCAATAGCAATTACTAAGATTTTTCCTCTTTCCCTAAATTAAGACATTTTACGGATTTTACTTTGCAAGATTTTCCCTAACATATAACCAAGGAGCGCAACTTTTCGTGTTCACTTTTACACTTTCTCATGACTGCTCTGACTGATAATTAATAAATAAATTTTGTACCCTCCTTCCCGGCCTAAAACCTGTTTTAATCCTTCCACTCGGCAACGACGTTATATATATGGGTCATTCTCACGAAAACTGTCATTTTTCAGCTCATAAAATCCCAAAAAAGTAAAGTGAATAAAAAGCTCTGAAACTGTCTATATTAATAGAAATATGTAATGGCATTATAAAGAAAGTATATATCCTATAAATTATACTTTATACTTAATATTNCATATAACCAAGGAGCGCAACTTTTCGTGTTCACTTTTACACTTTCTCATGACTGCTCTGACTGATAATTAATAAATAAATTTTGTACCCTCCTTCCCGGCCTAAAACCTGTTTTAATCCTTCCACTCGGCAACGACGTTATATATATATATCCTCTCAATACCTCAGGGGGTAGTGATCCAGGAGTTTCAATGTCTTTTGGATTGGCTCAAAATTACAAGGCTACGGAGTTGAACATAAGTAGTCGTAAACTCAAAATTGGGTTGGCTGTTTAACGACGGATATATATATATTAGACATACTTTACAAATTAGGTTTCTGTAACTCTGTTTGATAATCTTTTGAGAAGTAAATTTTTATTTGCATTTCTTTACTTAAATATCATTAATTTATTTACTGTAATAAACTTTTTATGTTTGATACTAATTAAATTGATTTTGAATTTCTTTTCTTTTGAACTGCACTTTGTAACAAAGAATCAGTAAATCAGGAAAAAAAATAATAATTTGTTGGTTTATTATTCATTCCAAAAATTTTGTTGGTAAATCAGGAAATTTGTTGGTTTACATTAAATTTATAATAATATATCTTGAAATAAATTTGTTTCCATATTAAGTGACTGGTTCATTATTTGTATTTAATGTTAAAATTTGTAATTTTTTATTTATTTTAGAGTCAGGCAGTTCCAAATGCATATAATAGTGGCCCTTCTGAATTACCTGCTGGTGGACCTGTAGCTCCTCATATTAAATTAGCTTCTTCTGAGCAAAATTATCCTATCAGAAATGATTACGTGCCTTTAAATCAAGAATCTACACCTGACTATGTTAAAAGAATTGAGGAGCAAAGACGGACGGAGGAGGTAAAGAATATTGCTTTCTGAAATTATCTAAGATTAGCTAATAATCCAGATAGTTAATAATAATCGGGATTCGTTTTGCCGAACATCTTTTTACCAAATTTCGTGACTTGGAAAATTTTTTAGAGGGAGGAATTTGAAATTTACAAATTCCTCTCCCCAATGTCTTATGAGAATACAAAAGCCAAAAATTCCTTTGTTTATTTATCAATGTTCTATTCCTTCACCAATATATTTAAAAAATGTTAATTCTTATATTCCCTGGTAGAATACACAATTGTGCTTCAGTCACTGGATATTGATATTATTTGTTCCGTGATTTGTAAAATTTAAAAGAGAAAAAAAATGTTAGTAGGTGGAAAATAAACATAGAAATGTTAAAAGAAAATGCAGTGAATAAATCAGGGTAGCCAGAAAACATGGAATTTTATTAATCTGGTAAAGTCGGGGAAATGTCTAGATAGTTAACTGAATAACCCAAAAGTTAGGGAAAGTTAATAAATTTAAGTTTGAGGTATCTAAAACTCTTCTTCTCATGGGCACGACAGCCCAGGATGGGCCTTGGCCTTCTCAACAAGCCTATGCCAAGACATTCTTCCCTTAGCCAAGGTTCTCCAGTTTATAATCCTTAAAACTTGTTGGTCCTTTTTAAGGCAGTCTAAAAATCTTAGGTTTGGCCGTCCACTTTTTTTTGTACCTGTTGGCCTGGCACTGAAAACTTTTTTGGTTGTCCTGCTATCCTCCATTCTTATGATGTGGCCTGCCCATTTAATCCTTTGATAAATTTAATGACATCAGGTTCTTTATATGCTTTGTAAAGTTCCGTGTTTGATCTTCTAAACCAGGTACCGCTTTTACTTATTCCACCAAAAATGCTTCGCAGTATTTTTCTCTCAAATCTAGCTATCATATTTTCATCTCCACGGGTCATTGTCCAGGTCTCACATGCGTATGTAAGCAATGATCGGATAAGACATTTATAGAGTAAAACTTTTGTTTTTCTTTTTATTAGGCTTGACTTAAGATATTTTCTTAGACCATCAAACTCTAGTTTTCCAAAAAAGAAAAAAAAATGATCTTGTATTAATTTTTTTTAATGTTTGTTTATTTTCGTGACAAACAGTACTGTGTTTAGATAAAAATATAAACTTACAAGTAGAGCTCTAAATAAATAAACTTTTGGGAAATCAATTTTTTAGAAAAGTCACATCATAATTGGGGATTAAGGCATGGATCTGAACATCTGATTACTTGAAATTAAAATTTCATAATTAGAGCTCTTACTCAAAATATTACTCTTACATGTGTATAATATTTATATCAGGCTGAAGACTTGGATATTAATTCTGGAATCCATGGTAACTGGACTTTAGATAATGCAAAATCACGGCTTCACCAATTTCTCCAGATGAACAAGTTAAATCCTGAGTATAAATATTCTCAAGTTGGTCCTGATCACAACAGGTTTCCTTTTTATTTTTTACTATTTTAGAATCTCTAATTCCTGTTTTGTACCTTTCTAGGTTATACATTCTTTAGTTGTCACCACTGTCTTATCACTTGCAGCTGTTTTTTATGTAGTTTTTTTTTCTTCATTTTTCACAGATATTTCTTTCAGTGCTGTGTAAAGAACTGAGGGAAATAAAAAGATGTATTAAAGTGGACATAGCACATTATATTACATATGTTTCACTGTAACCAATGATTGAATTGTTATATACTATACAAATTAATTGTGATATTTTAATGTAATGTTTACGGGAAGGAAATACTTAAATTTTCCTTGCCATAAATCATTATTTAATTTTAAATGTGTTATGTATGTATATAACAGTTTAAACATTGATCAATTTTGTTAAGTCTACTTAAATACAATTGCTTTATTTTAGATTAGTGGCACACAGTTTGTGGCTTAGGGGTTAGTTATTGCCTTCAAGTGTTTAATGTGCTATCCTTACCTGCTAACTGAAATGAATAAATTATATGAAAAATAACTTATATTGTATAAAAAATATTTGTAATTGTCTTAAACCGACTTTAATTTTTTTATTTTTTATTCAGTTATAAAAATTATAACATTAAAATTCCAAAATGCCAAAGTATTAGTCTGAATGCCAAAAGTTTTAACTCTTTTTACTCTATTTTTTATTTCAAAAAAATATTTTTTTTTATTCATGAAAGTCTCTCAATTTTGAAATTTTCAGCATTGTTTCAAAGTTTATTTAAATTAATTTAAAACAATTATGAAATTTCTTATGCAGTTAAACCTCAATCCATCGTTCCCAGATCTTTTGTTTTCTCTTACATATCACCTTTTTTAACCGTCTCATCTCAAATGCTATTTTTAAAATGACACCTGTTTAGATTGTTTTGGAATAGTGTATAGTCTATCAATCAGAAATACTACTGATGTATGAAAAAATATTAAAGTTATTTCATTTTAAAAAGGAAAACAGTAACTCTTGATGCTAATGATTATGAAAATGAGAATTTGTTCTAGTTTAGGGAAAACTGATCAAACAGTATCTTTAATGTTTATGTGTCAGCTGATGAAAATGTTGAAACTTATGTTGTCTGTTCAAGAAATAGTTCCAGAAGCTAAAGAAAAGCAAATTAATCTTTATGAAGATGGTAAATCAAAACCACAACGAATGCCAAAACTTACATAAGGCCAGCCTTCAAAACGATGAAATTTCTGCATTCACACAAGCTTACAGAAAATGAATAGCAATCTGTATTCATTGCTTCTTCACTAATTTTCATACATTTTCAAGTCATTATTTCATAATTTATAGTAGCTTGCAATTATTGTTTTCCTCTATCTTCTTCTTTAGCACGACAGCCCCTTACAGGCCTTGACTGCCTCAACCACGCGGAACCACCAATGCCTCCTATCCGTGGCGACTTTTTTCCAGTTGTTAATCTTTATTACTTTGAGATCTTTAGTAGTGTCATCCAGCCATCTAGTTGGAAGTCTTCTTCTGTCCCGAGATCCAGAAGGATTTTTAAAGGTGGCGATTTGTACTGCATTGTTTTCTGAACCTCTCCAGATATGGCCAAGCCATCTTAATCTATTGCTTCGGATGACCTGCACTATCTGTGGCTGTCCATAGAGTCTATATAATTCAAAGTTGTATCTGATTCGCCAACAGCCTCTTTCCTGTATCTATCATTCAAAATAAGGAGCCCTGAGAGAAACGATTGATCAAGGTTTTATTGATCTTGTTAAGTAGTTTGTTTTGTTTTTAAATTCGATTTTAGGTTGAAATGCAGAGGGCAACACATTTAACATTTGTATTTGCCCCCCAAGTCACAAGTTGTGTATCCCTAGATTATGTCTACTTATTTTGAACTTATATCTTGCTTACATATGTATGTAATATATTTGTGATTGCTTTTTGTAGCGTTTTTTCCTATGATTCTCATGGAAGTTTATTACTAATCAGAACTTTAAAAATGTTGTTGCTGCAAGTGATAAAACAGTCAATCCCCATTTTATCTCCAATTCCTCTCACGTTACAAACTTTGGAATGTATTACTTATGAAAAGGTTGGTTGAATGCAAAACATACTTTAAATTTTTTTTGCTTATATTTGTTAATTTATATGTATTTTTTGTAACTAACTATATATTATGTTTAAGGAATATTATATTTCACAAATGTGTTGTTGTATTTTCAGAGCACTCATTATTTTTTAATGTTTTATTGTCTTTTATGTGCAGCTTGTTAGTTAATAAATAAATAACTTGTGTTCAAAATGGAAATTAACAATACAACTTTTGATCTAATAAGATTTCCATGTCCTAAGTAATTTTGAAGTTCGTGCTCCGAGAAAAATCCAGACTTCCAGATTTTTGCAAACCGCGATCTGGAAGTTTCCGGAAATCCAAGGATCAGAAGTTTCGAGAAATCATCGATCACATTTATGTTTAAAAACTCTTGTATATTATATTTAAAAATATGAGAACTAGATTTTATACTTGTCACTTTCATTTGTTAATATTTTTTTCTGGTAGAATAATAAATGTGATTAGAGATAAAAGTTAACTTATAAATTATTATTCATTTAAATTGAGCTGCATATAATTTATTTAGAATTTCATGTTTTGAAAATATCAATGATTTAAATTTATAAAGACATTAAATTTTTAAATGTGTCATTAATGATTTTATTCAAGAAATTTTCAGGATTTTTGAGTTGGGCTAAAAATTATCCCCGTATATGTATCATTGTAAGGCGGCCAAGTGGCCGAGCAGTTAGCGTGCCTAACTGCAAAGTAAATGGCTGCGGGTTCAAATCCCACTCAGGACATGGATGTTTCTTTCTGTTTGTTCTCCTCTGTTATGCATGAATGTATCCCACCCTATGAACAGGGGTATGTGTATGGTGTGGGTAATGTTGCTCGCCTCTGTGACTTTAGCCACGAGGTGCTCACCTAGCAAAGCAAAATGAACAACATTTCCAGCTCCTTCCATGGTGAAAAACAATAAGTTAAATGCCTATGTTCAATGATTTAAATTTATAAAGACATCACTTTTTGGAAATGCATTATAAATGATTTTTCTCAAGGAATTTTCAGGATTTTTGAGTTGGGCTCACAATCACCCTTCTCACTTAATATGTTGTTACATATGGCTAGCTCGAATTTCAATCCATGGAGATCAGGCAGCCTTATGTCTCTCAAAGGAATAAAGAACAGTGGACAAAGAAAAACACAATAAACACACACTATATAAACATAAATAAACTAATAAGTTAAATATACATAAACAAGAAAAGGATTAACGAAAAAATATGGGTAAATTTTGATCAATAATAGTTTATATAAGTTCTAGCAGTCCAATATAATTCGGGAATTTCCCCAAGTTACCAATAGGATATTGATCGGAAGCAAGAAACAAACTAGGATTGCTGTGGTTTCCAGGTTAAATATAACACCACTACTATTTATACTCAATTGTGTGTACTCGACTGAGACTGCACGTTATAACAACGACCATATGTACGTACTCATGATCCCCGTTGTACTCCTTTGAAAAGCTAATGTCAAAAAACCGTATGATTAAAGAGATTAAACAACAATAAGTACAAATTTATAAGATTAAGTTTTACTGTGTTCTTTAACATTCAGTATTGAAAAGCCAGTTATTTTAATTTTTTAAGAAATTCATAAAAAATTTTTACAATGATAAACCGTTTTAAAAAATTTAGATTTCTGTTAATTCTTTTTAACAAAGAGTTTCTACCATTTGAATTGAAAGAAGACTACTACTTCTGGGCCTTTTTATTTCCAGCTATTTTTTCTTCCACTGGGGAAGCAATTTACCATCCCTGATTATAAAATAACGTGAGCGAATTTAAATTAACTCATAATATATCTTAAAAATGTTTCAATTAAAATAAACAACCCATGTCCTGTAGTTTTTAGAATTAGATAATGTTATTAGCTTAATAGATAATGATAGCTAGATAATGTAATCAAAGCTTATTTTTATCTACTTGTGAAATACATTCTGTTTGCTACAGTCAAAAGTATAAATAAAAATTATCTAAATTTAATGTTTTCAGTTTAATTTTAAAATTATTTTCTGTCACCAGTGTAAATAAATTTGTATCTTTCTTATGTAGTAAATTATATTCGTTATTGTATTTTTCAAATTGAAATTTTCATATTATACTAATAAAATAATTTAAAATATTTTTTTATTTTATTTAATACTGCAATACATCAAGAATAATATTGTTAAATATAAAGTTCTATAATGTTTAATTAAATGGCAAAAAAAATTCTATACTTTATTTTTCTAACTGTTAATGCTAAAACATACCTTTACAATTTTATTTGTTTATGTTTATGCCATCCATTTGCCTTTTTCATTAATTTTCATCACCTACAATGTAATCATCACCTACAGAATGTCCTCTTGTTCAGGTGATAATTCATATTATGTTTCGAAAATAAACAAACCCATGAAATACAATAGATGATTAGATAAAGAGGGGGGGGGAATACATGCAATTTCAGAGAATGTGAAGGGGAAAAAATTGAAAAGGGAGATTTCAACTTTTTTTCTGCCTTTTTCTCTGTTATTGCAAAGGAAAATAATTTTGAATCCTCTTTTCAATAAATACATTGTGAAGCGGACAGGTGGCCGAGCAGTTAACATGCCTAACTGCAAAGCCAATGGCTGTGGTTGCTCAAGGGCTGGATGTTTCTCTCTGTGTGTTGTCTTCTCTTGTGTGTATGAATGTCTTCCACCCTATGAACGGGTATGACTTTGGTCACAAGATGCTCACCAGGCAGCACAAAATGAACAACACTTCCGGCGCCTTCTCTTTTCAAAGAACGATAAGTTCAGTTCTTGTTGTTAAAAAATAAATAAATACATTGTGTATTTTCCCTTTAAATTAAGAAAATATTACTTTCTCAAATATTTATAGCATGTTGCCTTTTTGTTTCCTAAAGATATTCATAATAAGTTTTTTTTTATATATATTAAATAAAACTTACTATATTTGTTGTTGTAGGAGCTTTCTGTGTGAAATGTCTTTTTATGTGAAACAATTGGGTAGAAGTAAGTTCTATAGCCTCTTTTCATTATAAATATTTTTACCACTTATTTAATTTAACTTAGATTATTACAAATCACTTTTATTAGTCAAATTTCTATTGACAAAATCATGATTGTAACTGTCCGGTCTATAGCAAAATATTTAATAAGGAGATAGAATTTAAAAAAAAAAAAATTTTCATCTAAATTCGAAGTAAAAAATTGAATAACATTTTTACAAAATTCAAATTGAGAATCTTTAAAATATGAATATATATATTTTTAAATGTGCAGGTGGGATTAAGTATCAAAAGTTTAACTCATTTTTTTCATTAAATTTATAAAACTGCAGAGAAAAATAAATTACTTAATAAAGACCAATTGTTGGAGCTGTATTTTAACTGCAACATTTTTATTTGAAGTTATGTTCAGTTTGACTTTTTTTCAAAACTTTATTAAACTTTAACAATACAGTAACTACACTTTCCAATACAAATTTCATTATAATAACTTTCAATAATATAAAATAAAATAGCAATTCAAATAAAATAGTCATATGGTTTTATTTATTATCTATCTACTTTTCTAAATGATTTTAATTAACTTTAAAGTAAGCTATATGTTCCCCAATATTAATATATCTTTAGCAATCTAAATTTTCCTCTAATACCTTTTCAATACACCGAAAAGAAGTTTAATTTAACCAACTTTTCTTTCAATGAAGTAGTTGGTGATCTCTTTTAAAAGTTTTAACCCATAGCTTGGTACAAATTTATGAAATTGCAGAAAAAGATAAGTTCTTTCCAATCAAATGCTAGAGTGCTATTTTAATTATGTCATTTTCATGAGAAATGATGTTCCGTTCCAGTTTTCTTAAAAACTTTAAAATATGATACAAATTTGTATGCAATTTTGACTTGCTTGTAACAATCTAAATTTCCTTAATACCTTTTTAGTTTCCTAAAATCTAAGTTAAGTGCAATGACTTCTCAAAAAATGTTTTGGTTTTCGCCTGCATTAAATTTAGAATTTCTGTCCTGAGAAATTCATGTAATAAGATAATTTTCAAAATGTTGAATAAATGTATTGTTAAGGTTTTTAATTACAAATTTTTGTTACAAATTGTAATTCATTAATCTCATTTCTTAATATAAATCATTAATAGCATTATCTATCATTGTTAATTATATGAGATACCATTGTTAATAATATGATCAGTATAAGAATATTGTGATATAAGAAACGGTAGGCGAAAACAATGACTGGCCCTACTCTATAAGTTAACCTTTCATTGTAGTGTATTGCTTTAGTGGTCTGTCCAAGTTGACCACCAAAGCAATGTACTGCAAGTGGTGAATTAACAGGTTTTTATCACTGTACCTAAAAATATTTTTATAATATATCAACATACTTACAATGTAATCATTTGACAGATATTTTTGCCAGAGAGCATGGTTCAAACAAACAAATGGCTTCTAAGTCATGTGCCCTGTCTCTTGTACGCCAGCTGTACCATTTACAAGTTATTGAAGGATATTCTGGTGTAACTAAGAAAAAGGAAACCGATAAGGTACATTTCAGTTATTGTTAATTTTTCTGTTTTCCAATTATTTATCTAATAGTTTAAAATAGTGTTATGTTTTATACTTGTTTGAAAGCAAAGAAACCATTTTATAAAACTATCAAATTAGAACAATTTTTGAATTTCTAAAATTCTAAGTTTATGAAGTTAAGCAATTTTAAAAGGCACTACTCTAAGGCTTATTGTTTTAAGCAGTGCTGGGTGTTCTAATGAACCTTTAATGGCTATTTTTAAAAATATGAAGTCATAAAAGTATACATACTAAGTGTGTAAATTAATACTTTAGTGAAAAAGAACAGTTTTAAATACTAGCCATTCACTGTTGAGATCAATTACTGCAGAGAAAAGAAAGAAATTATCTTAGAACTCCTCTTAATTCCTGCTGCAAGGCGAATCCATTTTATTCCCTTTAAACTAATAAACTGGTTCTGATGTTTTTAGATAATGCCACTTTGGCTATTTTAAAAAGAATTGGTCTGACCACTGGAGTAAAAGTAGGGATAGTATTTTGTCATGACTGCCATTATATTATGTATGTTGAGATTTTTTTTAAAAAAAGAGAAAGGTTCATAAAATAGAGGTTGCCAATAACTATTTTTGGAGAGAAAAGGTTTCTAATCTTTCCTGGGTTGGGATTTTGTCCAGATATAGACAAGTTATTATTAATATCAAAATTATTATTTAATATTAATATCAAAATATTAATATCAAAATTATTATTTAATATTAATATCAAAATTATTATTTTCATATTTTTAGCTTAATGAAAATGACTATTGCTGAAACTGGCTACAACAGTTGCAGGGAAGGGGAGGAAAAGGGTCAATATAATCATTGGCTTGACCAGGATTCTTAGGGTTGTTTCCAAAAATAAAATTAAGGCATATGAGAACAGAGAGTGTCAATTACAAATGTGCCAGAAAAATTGAAAGGAAGATCCATATTAGAACTAAAAAGATTTTTCATGGGGGTCTCTCAAGAGATGTTGAACATCGTATAGGAGTTGGGGAGAGTAGAGCTTTCTTTCATTTAATTAATTGTGGACAAAAAAGTAGTTTTAAGAACAATGCTTAGCAAAGGAAATAATGACAGCATATTGAGTGCTAAATATGATATTCTGCAAAAATGGAGAGAGCATCTAGATGAGCTATTAAACTTAGATCTATACATAGAGAATAGTGAATCAGCAAATAGAAATCTCGAGGTTCTTGATTCCCCTTGATTGAAAAAAAGAATAGATGATATTAAGAAACTTAAAAAAACTAATAATAAATCCTCTGAATTTTTAATGGTAAAAAAAAAATCCCAAATCTTTGAGCCCCTGTGATCCTTCCACTAAACTCCAGGGTTTCGCAGAACAGCCTTTAGAAACCACTGATATGAGATGCAGATGCTAATTATGTAAATGTTTTTTTTTTAAAGAAAAAAACAACATATTTTATTATAGAATTTTTAAAAAATGCAGGTTGCTTAGCATTTTTAAAAAATGCTTAGTTTTGATTTACGTTTTTTGAAAGCCCTTAAATGTGCTTTTTTTATTTGGGGTTTCTAAAAAGTGTTTAATTTTCTACCTTTTGAAAAGAGATTTTTTCTTTGTCGTTTATGGTGTCGATTGTCGTTCTAAGTTATAAAAAATGTATGATTTTCGCAATTTTCTCTACAATGTTTAAGTAAATTGCTTGAAAATGTTTATGAATTTTATCGCTTTTATCTTTATTAATTAAGTACTTTAAATAACAGAAAAAAGTTATTTTTATTACTGCTCAAATCCTATTTACAATTTTGGGGGGGGGGNGGGGGGGGGGGAAGTGATGAGAAACATTTTTGGAGAGCTTAAAAAGTACTTGAAAGCATGGGTGCCACTCTTCAGTCCTGGGGACTGAAATCAGTTTTGAGTAAAATCAATGGATTAATAAATTCTATCAATTAAATTTCCTTTTTTTTCTCATTAGAAATTTAAAAATTATTTTGGTCAAAATGAAAAAGTTATATTATATCTTAATGAAAACATATGATATGGTAATGATGTCAGGACTTTTCCCTACCCTAACCTATTGTCACGCTGGCCAAAGTTAAATCCAGATTAATTTTTTTAAAAAAGAAAGAAATTATAGTGCTAAAACAAAAAGTGAGTAACGGTAAAGTGAAAAATAGAGATATGAATGGTTTCAGGTTGTTCAGTAATAGTTGTAAAAAAATATCCAAGGTTAGCTGTTATTTTTGTTTTGCTTGGTAAAAAAACCTAAAATAAAGAAAAAATAATCAAATGATTGATTTAATATGTAGGCTATTATCAAGGAAAGGTAAATTTTCGTGTCAATGAGCTATAACTTTATAAAAGTTTGGTAAACAACGCTAGATAGCATTATTTGGTCAAAAAATAAGTTCAGTCTTGAATTTTTTTTTAGAGTGGCACCCTTGCTTGAAAGGTGCTTATTTTTTGTTACAAAATTTGGCTATGCAGCCTGTATTAGCAGTTGTAATTATTAAGCTTTTCTTATTTAGTTGGAACCATATGATGTCAGTGTGGATCCTGCTTTAATAAGTGAAATTGAGGATGTCCTAATGGAATTGGAAATTCATCCTGTATCTGTTCCTGAGGTATGGTTTTTCTTTTTAAATTTAATAACGCTGTCTTAAATTAACTATGTTTTGCAATCAATTTGCAATTATGTAACTAAAATTTAATAAAATAGGTCAAACATTAAATTTAGACCTATTTTGCTTATTGATAGTTTCTTTTTTCAATTTTTAACTAACAATTTTAGGATATTTTACTTAATTCACTCAATTTACACTTAATTATGAAATTATAAAACTTAAATTTTAATTAGTAATTATTATTTAAGGAAAAAAAACCATGAGTGTGCTACTGAAATAATTTATGAGATTATTAATATTTTTTTCTATTTAGAGTGTTTGTTTATGCATTTTGAGCAATTTCTATTTCTTGTTACATTTTTCTTGAGAAAATTAATGCTTTCCTTCATGTAGAAAATAAATTATTTTTGATTATTTTTTTTTTTGTTTGATGTAAAATAGAAACAAATAAGATAATTTGTGTCCTTGTCAAAAAAAAAAAAAANTACAAAAAAAAAAAAAAAAAAATTAATGTAATATTCTCTTATCTCACCCAATATTCTCTTATCCAAAAATGTACAACTTTTTGCGTTTACACCAAAATCGGCCTTAGTTCATTTTTATTGCGAATAAAAATGTATAAAAGATAAAAAATATTTAATATTAAAATGTAAAAATTAATAGAAAGCCTTTTTTTTTTTTTTTTACTCAAACCTAGATCATCCAGAATTTGATTGTAACCATTTCATTTCTCAAGTTCTTTTCATGATCTTAAGTTCAATACTTGCAGGAAAATGCAATAAGTTACGAATTTTGCACATTACTATGTATATACATGTTACTTTTAGTTATAATCGAAGTACAGCTTACAATTTTATGTTTACAGATTTACCGTGGCTCATGTTTGGCATTAACATGGTATTTTTTAGTCTTAGTGGTCCACCCACAAGCATGCAAAACCATTTTTTTTATTTTATTAAATAAAGGTTTTGCATTTCTCTTGTCATTCTATCCATTTATGATTATAAGTGCAAAAGCCAAATTATATCTGATGTTCTGCAAACAAGGCTTTTGATAATTACAAAATAATTAATTATAATTCTGAGTATTGTAAAAAATAAATGTCTGTTAGTTAAAGTATTACTTTTTTTATAAAGGAAATTTAAAAGGTGAACCTTCAAATTATATTTAAAAGGTGAAGATATCAAATTATATACATTATTGCTTACATAATGAATCAGAAATTAACTGCGCATAAAATTTTTGACCAAACTGGGACATAAATTGTAAGGCTGGAAAGTTGAAATATTATTCAAACAAATTATTCTACAAGGACTGTGACATACTTTGAACATTTTCTGTTCTATGACCTGTAAGCAAGTTACAGGAGCAAAAAATATAGTTTTCTGTTTGTAACATATCAATATCTTTTTCCCTAATATGCTTAGAACAGGGTTTCAAAAAACCTAGTCTTTATTAGTTTTTTAATATTTTACATTTTACTGTTCCAATTGGCATACACATTTAAATTTCTATTAATAGTATTTAACAGTAAAATAATATTAGTAAAATATGTTGTGTGTTACTTTCTTTGAAGAGCATTTATTCAATAAGTAAATAAAATGAAAATTTTAATGAAGTAATTGATGTTCCATATCTGTTCATAAACCAGCCTTTTTTGTCTGAAATTGTTTTAAATCTACTTCAATCATGTTCTAATTCATCCTAATTGCGCTTTTTATTGATTCAAAATAATTATTTTTAAGAATTTTACTAAATCTTCTATTAATTATCTATTTTCTATAAAACTGTGCTTGATTTGTTCAAAACAATTATTATGTTTTGTTTAAGTTGAATTATTAGTAATTTTGTGTTATTCATAAATTAGTGCTGGGTTATATTAATTATTATTCTTAATGCTTCCTAGTTTAAAACTGTCACTTCAGACTGTTTCGAAAATGCAAAAGTGTTATCCCGAATTGCTCCTAGCATACAACATTGTAGTGATTAATTAACAATTTTACATCCCTTTTATATTATTACAGTTTTTGAAAATATTAGTTCTAATAAAAGCCTCCCTTTTTTTTAAACTATAGCTGGTCCTTTTTTTGTGTGAAAAAAAAATCAGTTTTTTTTTTTTTTTNTTTAACTATGACTGGTCCTTTTTTTGTGTGGATGGTTTGTACTAAAAAAAATCAGCTTTTTTTTTTTTTTTGGACCCGGTTAAAATCTAGCAATCCTGATTTAATCATAACATCTTCTGGTTTGTTGGTATTAAACATCTGTATTTTTTTAAAGGGTGAAAGTGAAGAGCCCATTCCTTTAACAATTGAGAAGAATGTAGAAGTCGATGAAAGATCTCCTCACACTGGTGTAGTTCCCTGGTCTCCACCCCAATATAACTGGAATCCTTGGACAAGTTGCAACATTGATGAAGGACCTCTGGCCACAGTAAGGCTTCAAACTTTATTCCCATTTTCTGTTGTAGAAACTAAGTATTTTCTAAAATGCAATCTGATTTACTATTAGTGCCTTTTTTTTTTAATAACACATACAATCTGTAGTAATTGCATGTAATTGAAAAACCTCTAGCATGTTTTTTTTTTTTAATTAGTTCTTTGTTTAAATTCTCTTTTTTTTTTAATTCTTCATTCTGAAAGGATTTTTTCCCCATAGTTATTAATTGGAGTGCTTTAATTAGTTTTTCAGAATGCATTATAAATTTTAAATTCTTTTTATAAATAGTTTATGTTTTTATTGACACAATTTTAAAGTTAACTGTGATTAAGCTATTAATGTCTCTAATTTTAGTTTTATTTACTTATCCACTGATATAGATGACACTTCCGGATATTAGCGCCGGTTTAAAGAAAGAATATGAAGAAAGAGCTAGTAACGATTCTAAATTTCAGAAGGTAAAATATAATTTATATTTATAAAAATTCTAGAATCTTCTATTATTGTAATTAGAATGTCTTATTTGCTAATTATGCAAAATTTCATAAATGATTTATTTTTAAATGTTCTAAGTAGAATACAATAAATATACTTTATTCAGCTTGAAAGTCAAATATGAAATCTCGTCAATTCATAACATAACAAATATATTTATCAAAATATCAATTAGTATGTGAGTTAGGGGTGATTGTAATCTGAGTTTTTTGTATCATTCCTCCAGGTCTAAAAACTTGAAGCAGGGCATGTCGTTTTTCCACGAATATTTGCAGAATTCGGTATACTTCGAGACTAGGTTGGATAATTGACTTTCATGAATCTTATATTCGACGAAATTTTGAAACTTTTCTTAAATCTCGTTAATGAGACACTTACATACATGTGATTCATATGCCAATTCGATTATTTTTGATTTGTCGGATTTTCGTAATTTTGAATATTTGGAACTGTGCCAAAATATTGCTATTCTTATTCATGTAATTTTAATATCAAACAGCAATTTTAGTATTTGCATGATTTAAAAGTAATATTCTGTGATTCATATTTACGCAATTTGAAAATCATACACGGCAATTCCTATTCATACAATTTAAAAATCCAGTGTCGTGATTTGTATTTATGCGTCTTTAAAGCCTAATATCACAATTTGTATTTACACATTTTTAATATTGCTGTTCATATTAAAATGTTTTTGAAATCCATTATTGCAATTCATATTCACTCGTTTGTAGTATGAAACATCAATTTTCGTATTTACTACACATTTCGATTTGTATTCACATGAACTAAAACTATACATCGTTATTCGTATTAATGAGATTTAAAAATTCGATATCGCAATTTCTGATTTCGGGTATTTGAAATCCGTTATCGCGATTCATATTCACGTGATATTCAAATTCTATATTGGGATTTTTGTAAGATATAAGTTTTATTATTATTTTTTATTAGTTACTATAAACACTTTATATTTTGCATTCAAACAATTATGTTAAATATGAAACATGTATGGTATATAGATATCTTGATATTGACTGTTTGCCGTTAAAATTTTCAGAGTTTTTCTCATTGTGTCACAATCACCTCAGTTGTATTTAATTATATTAGTGTATTACAATGGAAAGAAAATGTAAATGTTTATTAAATTTACTATAAAATTTTATTTCAAATACTGTCAAATTCCATTTTAGTGAACTGTCTGAGGACTCATCATCAAATTTATTCAAATCAAACTATACATTTAAGGAAATTATCAATTTAAAAATTTGCTCAACTTTTTAATGTGAGTTTATTTTAAGCTTTTATTTTTTATAATTTTAAAATTTTTGTAAATATTTTTACAAAAAGCGTGATTTTTATGAAAATCCTACAAATTGCTGACTTTAAAACATAATCTGCATAACCGCACTTTATTTTGATGTTTCAAATGTATTTCTGAATCTTTAATTAAATGCAGTATTAATAGGAAATTATCTTATTGTAACATAAATTTTTTTAAAAAAATAAATAAATTGAGAATGCCTTCTCAAATAGTGAGATAAACTATGTGAGTAAGATATATATAGGTAGTGTAATAAGATATAAATAGGTACATTAAGTAATTCTATATAATTATATTTGTTAACTATAAATTAATTTTCTGATTTTTCAGCCAGTTTGTCTGTCATATTTCTTTCCCATTTTCAATAAAGTGGAATCATACATTGACGTATATTATGTACTATTATAAAATTCTTTTTAATGTGACAATATATTTTGACTGTTTTGTTATCATTTACTTTTAATAATATTTCAATTATAATTTTATCTATAAAACTTAACTAACTAAATTTCTACAGTATTATTATTATTTTTTTTTTAAATTTCTGATTTAAATTTTAAAAAAAAATCTCATTTGAATAAAAGAATGTCTGATTTAAATTTTAAAAAAATCTCAAACTGTGTTTTGTAAATCCTTTTTAGATGCTTTCTGCAAGAGCAGAGTTACCAGTTTATCAGTTTAAAGGGGAAATATTAGAAGCTATTCAGAATAACTCAGTAGTTATCATAAGAGGAGCTACAGGTTGTGGTAAAACTACTCAGGTACGTTAAATTTGTCTGAATTGTAGATATTGTTATGTACACTTTGTATATGATGTTTCCGCAACAAAAAAAATTATCTGAGTTGCTCGATCATATTTTTATTTAATTTAATAGAATTACAAAAGATGGAATTGTTAACTTAAAAGTGTAATTATAATGAATGAATCTTTTTTACATATTTGTGCTATATCTGAATACTGTGTGCATATTTTTTCTTAATTATTGAGTTTAAAATTATTTTGACTAAGTTGATAGTTATTTGTTACATATTCTTATTATATTACACTTAAAAAAAGTTTTTTAAATTGTTCTGGGGAGAAAAAAAAAATTTGTTTTTGACATGATGATACTTCAATTCATATTATTATTATTTTTGGTCAGTTCCATTTATCTTTTTGAATGAACACTATCAGTATACAAGCTTGTTTTCCAGCTATCAACAATCAAAACGAACTGAACAACTGCGGTGCAGGGATAATTTAATTATTAGTTCTGTGAAAATCTTTATTCTGTATTTTTTTCCTCTTCCAGATTATTCTTATATGTTCATAAATAATAAGTTTTCTAGTTTATTTTGTGAACCTTTATTTCTTTTTTCTTAAATATCTAATTTTAAAATTTGCTATTGATTTGATCCTTAAGGTCCACTCTCTCAAAATATTTTCTCTGAATGAAGTATTAAAGTAAAATATTATACAAGTTTGAGGATATATATATATTGGCATATATATATGTGTGCCTTTGCCGTTTTTTAATGTACAACTTTATTTAAAGTTTTAAATTGGGCAGATAAAAAAAAAATTGAAGACTGGTTAGTTACAAAGCGATTAAATATGAAATATAACATTGGAAAAGTGCCAAACTAATTCGAAAATGTTTTCATTGTAGGAAATCAGGTCATAACTAAGCAAAATGAGAACAGTTCAGTTAAAAGTACTGAATCGGGCATATAGAGTAGTCTAATTTTGGTCTAAGGAATAATTTTTAAATGAACTGATGAGATACATAAAATGATGTTTTTAAAGCTAGTAAAAGATGCGTAAAGATGATTATAAGCTGCTAATGTGTTTCCACAAACTGAGCAAATTTAATAGTGTGTTTTTATTCTTGCGTTCATTATTAGTAAGGCACTAGATTTCGCCATTAAAAATCATGAAAATAAAAAATATTTAGCGATGTAAATATGTGTTCTAATACTAGTATGCTAGAGCCAAAGAGGTTAAAATATTGCTTCAAATTTAAAATGTGAAAAACAATTCATTTAGAGCACATGTTTCTCATACTGTGTATTCCATTGATATAAATAAAAAAAAATTAAAATTGTACTTCAATAAAAAAAAACGTTCTTTGACAAGGTTATAAATTTGGTGTATCGAAATTTAAATTGTATAAAGTATTAAATTTAGTGACCTAATTACATTTTTGCTTGCATAGACTCTACAGCATTCGTGATATAGTAGTTTAGGTTTTTAATAACATATTACTGAAAACTTCTGTTTAATTTATCATATTTTGTTTAAATTATTTTTTTCCTTTTAGATTATTTTTGCACACTTTAGTTATTAATTTTTTTTAATTAATGTGTTAATTTTAAAACCTTAGGTACCTCAGTATATTTTGGACTACTATCTTGAAAGTGAATGTGGAGCTGATTCTTGTATTGTAGTTACTCAGGTAAATATTTTGATTCATTGCTTGAACTACTTTTTTGCTGAGCTCTTACTACAAGAGTCTATAATTATTTTCATAAAAATATTTGTACAAGGTTAAAGAAACATTCACCCTTTCATTTCTTTTAATATAAGAATTAAGTATGTTGCAGATCTGTGAAAGTTAGGACAGTTTACATACTTCTTAAATAATTACATAGCTGCCAACCCTTCTGCATTTTGCAGAAGCTTTCTGCATTTCTACTTATTTTAGCTATTTTTTCCTCTTTTATGCACAGAAGAGAAGATCTTCTGCATTTTACCCATCCGCCTAATAGCTAGTATTTTCTTTAAGTCAGACGTCGCTGTTCCTCTTGTAACAGCCTTTGGCAGGCCGTAACTACATTTTTAATCAAGAATTAATAAATGAATATTGTACCATCAAGTAGCTGGTCAAAAGTTTTTTTAAAAGATATTTCCTTTTTTGTTTTAAAAAAAGATGAGTATTGCTTTTTTATGCTCATATTAAGTGGATTTATAAATAAATAATTAATTAAAATCCGCTTCTTTTCTAAATTTATTGGTAATTAGTATGCGCTTGCGAATATTCTGCATTTTTAGGCATTTCTTCTGCATTTTTTTTTCTATCTTCTGCATTTTTATAACTAGAGGCTGGCAGCTATGAATTAAGTAATTTGAAAAATAATGGGTAAGATAGATTTTCTACCCAAGGAGTATCTAAATATTATTTGTTATAGAGTGCCAATAGCATAAATCAGATTGTTATTTTAATAACTTTATTTTTTAAGACTTTGAATAAATCAATAAAATAAAGACACAATGATTAAGAATTGTAATTAAAGAGTTTTCACATTGTTACAGCAAAAAATATTAACTTCCCTAAGTAATAAAATAATTTAGAATTTTTTTGCAAGCCTTTTCAGCTTTAAATCAATTTTGCATTCATTTTATTTTTTATATTCAGCATTGTCTTGTATGTTATTACTAATAAAGAATGAGAAGTATTTTTTTTTAAATAATGAAGAATTATCAAATCAGGGATGGTTGCAATCTGGGTGTACTCTACAATTCTGGTTTTTTCCTATCATTCTTTCGTGTCTAATAAGTAATAACTAGAAGCAGTTTCTGCTAAAGTCGCGAGTATCTCAAGACCATTGGTTTGCGAACTTCTGTGAATCAAAAATTGCTATATCCTGTTATCCAGATGTTTACATACATGTGATTTCAGTTTGATTCGTTTGGTTTAGCAGACTTTCCCCCATTTAGAATATTTGGAACTGCACCGGAATCTGCTAATATCGCAATTCTTATTGGCTCGATTTTAATATTGTTTCGCTTTAGGCGGGGAAGTAGCACAGTGAGTGGATTAAATTTAACTGAGGTGTAGTATTTTTAAAATGTAAGTTTTTAAATAACTTACTAATACATTTATTTAACTAAGTTTTTATACAAATTCTAATTTATTAATCTCAAAACTATTAAAGTTAGAAACGGTTGATTAAAATCATTTTGGAATACTGCCAGCAACTAACATGGATGTTCTGTAGCTTTCAAACTCGCGAGCGTCTGTAAAACAATCAGAGTAATTTGTGAATAAAAATACTTGCTTCGAAATTCTCTCTTCAATGCTCAGCAAAGTGTCTATCTATGATTGGCTGAAGGTCGAAGTACCTTCATCACTACAGTATCACTATTACGTCCCAAGTTGCCTCACATGCAAACCCAGCTTGGTTTAAGTTGGTTGATCTCATGCAAGAAAATGTAAACAAAAATATTATGACACTGTTATCAACGAAGTTAAAGTCTCAGACTTGGGAAAGTTATTTATGTTTGATTTAAGCTTTAACAAGATTTGAAATGATTAATATTAAATATAATGACTTTATGAGTTCTTTTAGAGGGAAAAATATATTAGATACTATTTATTTAGTGACCTGAATTAGATAAACATCATTAAAGTAAGTTATTAAACTTTCTGCCAAGATCCAGGTAAAACTTAATAAATATTGTACTTAGGTTTTTCGAATTAAATGTTGTATCGAATTAAATAAATATTGTTAATAGGGAGAATTACTTAGTTTAATAATAATATTAGGGATTGGATTTACATAAAAATATGCTAATTGCCACCATATTAAACATTGATTTTAATATCTACCTGATTAAAAAGTTATACGTTGTGATTTGTATTCACTCAAATTAAAAATCGCACATCGCGACACCTATTCATACGATTTAAAAATCCAGTAGCACAATTTATACTTGTTCATTTTTTTAAACCCAATATCGCGATTCGTATTCACGCGAGTTTAAAATCCAATATTTCAATTGGTAATAACACCATTATTATATCAAGCATCGATTTTTGTATTTATGCATGATTTACAAGCTGCACATTGTGATTTGTATTCACATGATCTAAAAATCATGATTCATATTTATGCTATTTAAAAATTCATGATGTTGCGATTTTTGTAAAAAGTTTTTTAATGAATTAGTTACTATAGAGGTGTGATATTCTTCATTAATGCGTAATTTAATTATAAAAATTAGTTCAAAAAATTAAATTGAATATGAAACATGCATGGTATATGAATTGTTATCTTGATATCCATTTTTTGTGCATAAAATTTTCAGTGTTTTTGACTTAATGTAATTATCACCCCTGTCAATTATATATTTTTTTACTGTAAATTCTTTTATCCCGCATTTTATATAAATTTTTTATATTGAAAAAAATTTTATACTTTAGAACCTAAATAGTATTGATGCTATGATTTTTTAATTAGAAATTTATTCTCTTGTGTTACTAATAAATATCTTAAAATACCCTCTACTAAGTTCTCTATGCATGTTTATAAAGTTTGAAAAACATTTCAAAAATAATATCATCAGTAAACCTATTATTATTTGCTTTTAACAATATTTTGTGTGATGCCTCAGTAAAGCGAACAAAGACAATTTACTAACCCGACTAGCGAAAGTTTAGATATCATTCTGTATTTTTTCCTTCTAATATTTCACGTTGGCAATAGAACTTGTGAGATAAAATTAATGCTTTTTATTTTGTAGCCTCGTCGTATCAGTGCTGTCTCAGTAGCAGAAAGAATAGCTGATGAACGTTCTGAAGCACTTGGTAACACCACAGGTTACAGTGTTCGGTTTGAATCTTGCTTACCTCGTCCCTATGGCTCTATTCTCTTCTGCACTGTTGGTAAGTAGCTTCATTTTTTTTTCTTCTTCTTTTATCTCACATTCATTTCCCATTTAAATTTTTCCTTAATCAGGTCAGGTATTTCAATACTATAGGAAAAAGTTGCTATCAACTGCAAAATTTAAAAAATAAAAAAAATCTTTTCAGTTTCCTTCTTATCAGCAGGTGATGACTAAAGTTCTAAAATCAAAGTGTTCAGAAAAATTATGGTACTGTCAAGGTCAAAAATTAGTCAAAAAAAGTCACAATTACTAAGGAATAATGCAATTGAGTAAATCTTGTAACTAACATAGAAAATACCCATTTTAAATTTAGCATTATCTATACCTAGCAATTATTAATTATTTTTTCTACTGCTATGTGGTTAAATTTTGTTTCAGGATGTTTGAAATTGGAATAATTTTTCTTAGAAATTTCTTGTTTGTAATTTTTTTATTAATATAACTACATGCCGTTTAAGTTTTAAATATTAAGCCTTGTATACATATTTTGGTTCTTAATCATAAGTAAAATATAAGAATTCTCACTACATGACTGATATTGTTTATAAAAACTATGTTTCAGTGAGATTTTAAATTTTTCCAATTTTTGTGTAAAATATTGTTTATATTTGTAATATATATATATTAGAGAGGGTTTAATTTTTTAGAGAAAAAGTGTAAAACCCTAATACATAGTACCCAATTTTGAAAAAATAAACGAAATGATAAGTTTAAAATGTGCATACATTTTTAGTTTTAAATGTAGCAGATATTCAGACATAATCGACATTTTAAAAAAATTTTCTTCACGCGTAAAATTTTATTTATGCTAAACAATACAACTGACGACTTTATGTAATGAATAGAGCCCGGAAGTTCAGGCAAAATGCCATAAATGCCCTTTTCTGCCTTTTTTAAACGTTTTCTTCTGAAAATGCCTTTTTCGTTCCTTTTGTTCATAAATGCCTATTTCTGTCTAATTTAAAATTTTTCTGCCAAGCTTTTTGTGCTTTTGACCGAGCATAAACGCAAAATGAAGAAATTTTGAAGTACAGAAATAGTTGACTGTCATCCAACGGATTGTAATGCATTTATAGAGATTAGGACTTTATTCCTTTTGTCTTATTAATATTTTCTCTCCGTCTCTTCGTGGCGTCAGAAAACGTGGCGTCACCTTCGCCCGATGCGCTTTGCAAGGAGAGAGAGAAAGGGAGTGAAAAGATTGGAGTTATTTTTACTTACAGTCAATAGAATTTATTCTTACTTACGGCCCATATAGCCTACACCATCGAATAANTTTTTTTATACCTTGGATACCTATATGGGCTTTTAGGCATTACCAACTACCATTTTGCTCCAATTTTAAGTGCCTGTTTCAAGCTTTTTAAATGCCTTTTTGCCTGCCTATTTTTGCATTTTTTATTGCCTGAAATTCCGGGCTTTAGTAATGAATCATAATAAGTCCAAGTTAGACATCCAAATATGCAATACTAAACATTAATGATAAACATGCCAGAAGTAGATTAAAATTTACTCTGGGAAACAGAAGTTTAATTTAAATTTTGCAAAAAATGGATTAAAAAAAGGTTAATTTTAAACTTAACATGTATAAGTTTGTAGATACATTAATATTCTTCAGAACATACATCCTCTGCATTCCAAATAACATGTAAAAATACACTGAAAAAAAAAATAATAGAAAGGGGACTGAGTTCCTGTACATCCTCATGCAAATTAAACCTTGATATATGATTATAACAAGTATATATTAAATATTATCTAATGACAAATATATATTACATTTTACGTAATAATAAATATTGGATAATATAAAATAATTGGCATGAAACTTGCATGAAAACAAGGGAGATGAATTTGAGAAGATTTTCCCTTTAGCCCAGAATTCCCATTTGCTTACTTAACAGAACTTTCCCTGAATAACAAAGAGTCAGAGACACTGCATACTGATGCTTATTTTATTATATTAAAAAAACAATTAATAATTAATTTTTGTAATTAATGTAATTTAATTATCATTGTAACTAATGTTTTAATTATTGTAACTAATGTAATTTTTTCTTAGATCATTAATTTAATAAATGTTAACTCTGAACTTTGTGTAATAACAGGGTGGCCACCCACCTTGAAAACCTGGAATTATCAGGGAATTTTTTTTATACTGCAAAAAACCTGGAAATATCAGGGAAATTTGGATAAAAACCTAGAAAAATCAGGGAATTTTAAAGAAAAGCTGGAAATTTTTCTTTGATAATTTTTTTAATTTCACTAATTTAAATTATTTACTAATTTTCTTAATTTAAATTATTTCATCCATTATACCCACTTCTTTTTAAACAGAAATTGAAATATCATCAACTTAGCGATACTTTACTTGCTGTTAAACTAGAATGCTACATAAAATTCTCCCACGGTTTCTAAACAAATGTAGAAACCTTTGACCGCTATGAGACTGTGCAATTCAGGAAAGATTCTGGTGGAGATGGAAAAAGGGATTAGGATATTAGCTCCTTCTTTTTAAAATTCTGTCCTTCGGCTGAATGCATTTATGTTATGTTATTAATCTCAAGTTTGTTCCAATGCTTTGGAGGTAATTTTTTTTCTCTATTTTGACAAAATGTTTTTGTATTTTTAATTTTATAAAATTCTCCAAAAATTAGTTGGTTATAATTTAATAATAGATTTTATATCGCATACTTTTTCTGAAAGCTTTTCTACTCCCATTCAAAGAAATCAGTGAATTATTTTTTCTCAGCAAACCAACCAATCGCACATTTTTTTTTACAATCGCTAACAGCAATGTTTGTCAACAAATCGATATAATTGTTGCATTAATGCTAATTTTTTTTATTTCATTTTAACCTTTTATAGCATATTTTAATTTAAAAAAAAGGTTTTTTTAAGAACCAACTATATATTAATATTTAATTTTACTCTTTTGTTGGTTAATATGATTTTTGATTCAAAATTTTGTACCAAAACATTAAAAACATTAAAAAATAAATTTAAAAAATCTTGAAAATTGTCAAAATAATTAATTTTTTTCAAGATGATATGTTAAAAAAATAACATTTTGAATAAAATATTTTATAATATAGACACTTTTCTTGTACACATTCTATACTTTATAAGAAAAAAGAAACAAAAACCTGGAAAATTTAAGATTTTTTACCTGGAAAAATCAGGGAAATTTGAAATGATTTGAGTGGCCGCCCTGAATAATTATAGTAACTTAAAAACACTCTAAAATGTAGCAAGATGTATTAGATAGATTTTTGAGACTCTTTTATATATTTGATTAGGACAAAAATAAAATTGATGGCAATTGATTAAAATATTTTATTTATTTATTTTGTTGTCTTGCAATAAATAAAAAATGTTTTATTTAATGTGTATTTTCTTTTTATTAGGTGTTCTATTGCGAAAGCTTGAGAGTGGTTTGAGAGGAGTGTCACATGTTATTGTTGATGAAATTCATGAACGAGATGTAAATGTATGTATTGCAGTCCCATTTTATAGTTTATATGATAATAAGTACTGTATAGTACTATTATTCGTAATTAAATTGAAAATAGATGCCTGTTGGCTGAGTGGTAACTCTTCATGCACTCCTGTCACAAGTTCTTCCTTGGTTTGATCCTTGAACCAGGCAAGGTTGACTCAGCCTTTCATCCCTTAAGTGGGTTGATAAAATGAGAACTAAGCATGTTTGGGGACTAAACGCTGGGGGTTCTGCATTCAACTGACCTCCCGACCAGAGCAATCTGCTCCTGCACCCTAGATCCCATGGTCAAGAAAACTGAGATGGGCCCAGTAGACTTTATTCCTCTATAGGCTGTTGTGCCATTGAGATTAGTTTTAAGTTGAAAATAAGTTGCATCTTAAATAGCAAGCGACATTTAAATAGATTATTTCGACTATTATTTTGCTTAAGTATTAACTTCTCTCCTTGGCATTTTTGAGGAAAACTCTTTAGTTCATTTAGAATAATTATTTGTTATACTTGTACAAATACCTTGCATACATTTTCATAAATCTACAAGTAACCCTTGTTTATTAAAATTTTAAATTTATCCTTGTTTATTAAAATTGTAGGTTGTAATGGATCAAATATATCTTAAAAAGGCCAAATTTTTTGTTCCTTATCTCAAAAAATACTACATTGGTTTTCAAAAATTTGTTTTTGGTTTCCTTTTTCTTATTTTACTGCATATATCAACAGGGCTTTTGAAATTATCACTCATTAATTTTCGTTTACTTTTAAAGTTAGTTTAATGGTAAGAGGGGAAAAAAAACTTTAATTAAAGTTTTCTGAAAAAAAATTATGGCAAAATTTATCATTTTAAAGAGGACAGGGTTTAAAGATCAGACTTCCTTAATTCAAGGCACTAATTAAAGAACTTTTTCAAAAAAAATAAATAATAATAATTACTTTTTTATATAAAGCTGACAGCTAAAAAGATAGATCTTTAATTTCAACTAGGCATTCAAAATGTGTAACCGATAAAAATATGCAACACGGTATAGTTAAATTAAAAGTTTTAAATCGTGATTTATAAATTATGGTGAAAATCTAACACTGTATGTCGTTAGTAAAAATATCGAATTTAAAGCCACCTATACATATGACAAGAAATAATTTGAACACATATTGTGTGAGCTTGTGATCATCCATGTCTGACTGGGAGAATTGTTCTTCACACCTGCTCGAATTAATTGATGCACTATCGGGAACCATGTACTTCGTCACTCAAGTAGACGCCAATATCTAGGATTGATTGGGAAACATCATACACATTGCGAGTACATTGTAATTTCTGATGCTTTGAAGAATAAAAACCTAATCCAGACATCAGGTCAGCGATGATTGCATAACATCAATATCTCTCAATGCATTGATGTATTTCCCAATCCTACTACATTGTAACAAAAAATATCCTGAATTAATCCTTTCTTCTTTTTTTTAATTAACCGATCCGATTTTTATATGGAACCACTTCAAAGCTTACTTATTGTCGCCTTATATTTATTTTGTAAATTGTCAACTTTATTAAGTAGAATTAAAAAATTGTTTTTATCTTCTAGACTGATTTCATCCTGGTAGTGTTGAGGGACATGGTACGTGCTTTTCCTCAAATGAGAGTTGTTTTGATGTCAGCCACAATCGATACAACCATGTTCTGTGAATATTTTGGAAACTGCCCAATCATTGAAGTTTCTGGCAGAACATTTCCTGTTCAAGGTAAATTTTCTAAAGTATTCATATGTTTTATTTTTTTATTTAATTTTTTGCCGTATTGTTTAACTTCAGAGTCTAATTCAGTTTGTGTTATAACTCTCTGAATGTTTAACAACATTACATAAATGATGAGTGTGAATCAGGTTGGCATTGGAAAATTTTTTTAAAAATGCATATCTCTTTCTTCCTTATCCCCAAAGTTAGCAGGGTTAAACAATGTCCATGAAACTCATGACCCGGAGGAAGTCGACCACCAAAAGTGGGTTATTCAGAATGTCCCCTTTGTCCAGACCAAGACAGTCCAGGATATGTTGGGGAGAAGCCTGCATGTTGTGGCACCTGGGGCAGTTTGAGTAGGTTTTAACACTACCCTCGAAAGAAAGGGACTTACGGTGGCCGCTGATAAGCCTGGTAAGTGCCGTCTGTTCCTTGCAATTGCACCGAATGTTGAGTGCACTTCCTGGACGGTTGCTCTGGTACCAGTGATGTTTGGGGGGTACAAGCCAAGAAACATTGACTTCTTTTTGATGCCAGTTCCATGAAGGTGAGTGAACTTGGACTCATCAAAGTTTCTTCTGTCCCCTCTTTAGCCAGCGTGTCAGCAATGTCATTGCTCAGTACCCCAACGTGAGAAGGGATCCATTGGAGGTGGACTTCGCGCAATCGTGAGAGGATTTTAAGTTTGTGCAGGATTGAAGCTCTTGTTTTGTTTCTCACCTTCCTCCAATGCTATAAGTACTGTATGGAACTGAGACTGTCAGAGAGTATCCAGATGTTATTGTCCTGTTGGCTGCCTCATCGTGGCGAGGGGGTGACCCTGAGTGGAAAGGGCGATGTACGTCTGGAGTTTTACTCCTGGAAGGGTCACCCATGGTGAGAAGGCCGTTCCATTACACTCAGCTAAAGTCAACAGGCGAAGGAGCCAAGTCAGGCTTCTACCAGCATGGTGCTCCAGTCATAGGACTTCAGAAGCTGCATTATTACCCCTACCATGAAATTCGTGAAAAAAACATATTAACTATTTTTAATAGGATCTTTTATAGATGGTGATTGATAAAATTGTGTTCTTAACACTAAATATTTTCTAATTACTGTTTAGTAGTTGTGTTTTTCTAATTTTAATTCCTTAGTTATGAAAAGTGCATTATATAATTTATGTTTTTTTTTTTTTTTTTTTNTTTTAAAAAAAGAATATTTTCTGGAAGATTGTGTGCAAATGCTGAATTTCGTTCCACCCCCCAGCACAAGAAAGAGAAAACGAGATGAAGACACAGGTGTTGATACTGAAGAGCCGGAAGTAAGATGTTACAAAAATTGTATTTAATTGCAATTTTACTTTAAGAATATTTATCATCTATGTTAAATTAAGGCTGCTCACAGATAGGTAGGAAATAATAAATATTGCACTTAATTTTAATTATCAATTTATGTAAAAAAATTAACAATTATGTACTACATTTTATAATATAAAATATTATAAATTGGATTCAATTTATATAAATCCGGGCTAGATGACATTATCAAGCAGAAATTGCAGCTTTTAATCTCTTGCAATATTTCCGTTTTATTTTATTACAACAGTGTTAAGTTTAATTTTTTTTTTTTATTTAAAACTTTTATTTTTAGACCAATTTTATAATTATGAGGACAACATTTAAGCCACAACAGTATTTAAAAAGTTTTCTTCTTACAGACCGTTAGGTTTTTGAAATACTCTTATTTTGGTGCCTTGCAGGAGAATCTGTTATTTTTTAAAAATGTTGATTACATGAAAATTAAAAGGTTTTTCTTTTCTCTTTATTTGAGGACACAATTAAGGCATAAAATCTGAATATTTCCATTAAGTTTATTAAATATATTAGAGTCTGTGCAATACTTGATATTCTATAATTGTTGTTTTGTTTCTGTAATCTTTACATCACATAAATTATGTATTTTTTCCCTTTTTTTAGGAAAACCTAAACAAGGTAATTGGTCCAGATTATTCACAAAGTACAATGCAAGCTATGTCTACTATGAGCGAAAAAGAAATGTCATTTGAACTTATTGAGGTAAGAAAATGAACTCTTATGTTTCTTTCCTTGTCTATTTAAAACTAACTCTTAAATGTATTATAAAAACTGTTAGGTAAATCATCTGTTAGCAATTTTTTGTAATCTTGTATTTTATGATTTTTTTTTCCTCCACAGTCTTTTTTCTTTTCTTTTTTATGCATATGAGTTAAAAATTACAAGTTTTCATCATTGAATTTGGTCCTGTGATTTTCCTAGAAAAGTCTATTGGGTTTTAATTTTGATTTACTAAAAGCTAGTTAACAGTTCCTTTCATAAAGTTACTATTTAAAAAACACGTAATCAATGCATTAATTTTATTTTTATTCAATGATTTTGTTTTTGTTTGATTTAATTCTAGGCTTTATTGATGTACATCAAAGGTTTAGGTGTACCTGGTGCCGTTTTGGTGTTCTTGCCAGGTTGGAATTTGATTTTTGCTTTAATGCGTCATCTTCAGCAGCATCCTAAATTTAATACACCTCAGTATTCCATTTTACCCCTCCATTCACAAATACCAAGAGAGGATCAACATAAAGTGTTTGAACCTGTACCTGATGGAGTAACTAAGGTTAATACTATTTTTATTGATTATTTTTTATCATATGCAATTTGCGAAACAGTGCAATTACTTTTTTTATTAAAAGCAGTGTTCATTTAAAAGTTTTTTCTTTCTTTTTAATTTCTCATCAATTTTAAATTTACAAAGCATTCTAATGTTGAGTTTTTAGTTTTCATTAATTTTCGAAATTGTTATTTTATTATATGATTAAAATATCTCTCAATGNTGTTTTGCAATTTAATTGAATACTTTTTATTCAGATAAAGAGTATGGTAATTGTATGAATGATTCCTCTTTATTTTATCATAGCAAGTAAATAAGCCAAAAAGAAAATGAAAAAAAAGGAAGCAAATCAGTGAATCAGTCATAGGTTTATATAGTTTATATCAATTATAGGTTTATATAATTGCATTTATATATATATATATATATATTTTATAAATTTGAGTTGTAATGTATTAGGATTTATTTTTAATAATATTTTAATTATATCTTTAAAATTTAATGAATTATAAATTAAATTTATTGTAGCATTTAAAAAAAATCAAGTTAAATCTAATAATTCAGAATTTTATTTTAATATTATTATTATTTTTTAAATCGAAATATGATATACCCTGGTTCAGAGTGCATTTAAGTTTATATAAATTTTTTATAGTCTGCAGTTACTAATTAAAGCGTAAGATCCTTCCTCACTGGTGTGACAGTCTCAGATGGGCCCTGGCCTTTAGCAAAATTTAATCCTTGATTAAAGTATTTGAAATACTACCCTTTAAAACTAATGCTTTAAGCTTGAAAAGATACTATGCTGCAAAAGAAACCATTCGTGAAATATTCAATTTCACATCCACTAGTTTTATAAAATTAAGTCTAGAAAAATGTGAATTTAGATAAATCAGAGTATTCCATAAAAGTTCTATAATGCTTATTTATTAATTTTTTAAAAAAATATCAAAATCAGAACAAGTTGTGGTAAGATTACTTTTCTACTTCATAATCATGAATTATCCTAATGTTATTCCCCACCCCCTTGTTATGATATTGAAAAATGAAAAATTACACAGATGAAACTTCTTGGTTTATCTGGAATAACTTTGTTTCTTCTATACTTTTAATTTTAAATTACTAATATATGAGAATCAGAATTTGTTCACTTGAAATTGGAGAAGCAGAGTTTCTTCAGTGTTAGAGCCGGGGCCTACTTCTGACAAAAAATTCTGATTACTCATTGTTAACTCATAGAGAATTATTTAACTAATTGAACAATTAATTAAGTTGGTTCCCTTTCTCTTAATCTTTGAATTTTTTTAATCATTCAAGTAGTTTTTGTTTTCTTTTTTTTTAAAGAAACTCTTAACATTATTTGTGGCTCGAGTTTCTTCTTTTGTGTTTTCTTTTCTCAGAATAGTAATTTTTACAGATATTGAACATGATATATTTTTTTCTTTAGATTAATTGGGTTTTTATGGGTCACATTTAATGCAGATTAATTTTTTGTGTATTTATCACCGAAATTTTATATTGCAGATTATTTTGGCTACAAATATTGCAGAGACAAGCATAACAATTAATGATGTAGTATTTGTTATTGATTCTTGCAAGTAAGTTATTTTCATAATGAATTTCAAAAAAATATTTTCTGTATCTATAGTCAGTTAGTTGTTCTGTGTCTTTCTTTCTTTTTTTTTAAAAAAAAAAGTAATAATTGTTATTATCTAATCTTTCTTTAGAGTTAAAATGAAGTTATTTACATCTCATAACAATATGACCAACTATGCAACTGTCTGGGCGTCTAAAACCAATCTGGAACAAAGGAAAGGCCGAGCTGGCCGTGTCCGAGCTGGTTTTGCATTCCGTTTGTGCAGTCGAGCTCGGTTTGAAAAGTAAGTTCTTTTCAGTGTTTCTTGCCAGTTTAGCTTGTGTATTTATAGAGTTCTTTGTTTACATTGATTCAGTTTTCATGTGCTAAATACACATAAATATTTTAATTTTTTTATATATTTTCTTATATTCTGAAAGACATAGTCACCTATCTTTATTATTATTATTTCAGATTAGATAATTACACTACTCCTGAAATATTTCGTACTCCTCTGCATGAAATTGCTCTTGCGATTAAATTGCTTCGCTTGGGTGATATTGGTAAATTTCTTTCTAAAGCCTTAGAACCACCACCTATTGATGCCGTTATTGAATCAGAAGTTCTTTTACGAGGTACTCACGTTTAATATTATGATATTCATTTACAACCAATTTCTGCATTACTTTTAATTAAGTCATAAAACTATTTTTAAGAACTATTTAATTATAGTACTATAATAAAAAAAAGGTTTGTCTATTGTTTGATGGCTAGGTGATCATTTAATTTTCAATCAAGGCAGCTATTAATATTTTTAGATTGTTATAAACTATATAAATTGCACACAGTAAATATTCTATGAACTTTTGATTTTACTCTAGTTTTATATTTATTAAAAGGATGGTCATGTTTCTTTATAGTTCTTTGGTAAATTGTTAGTATAATGCTTGGATTAAGTTAAGGGGATACCTTTCAAAATCTCAATTTTTTTTTTAATAGAGAAAATGAAATCCTAAATGGTAAACAATGGTATCACGAAGAAAAAAAAAAATATATTTTTGAAAATTGTGCAACTTTAATGACTTCTTTTATTATCCATTTGAACTACTGTTTTCTCATTTCAATAATCAAAAGAAAATGTAGAGGATTTTATATTTCTAAGTTTGTCAAGTTATAAACTAAATGACTAAAGGGGTTTAGATGGTTTTGATTTCATCCAGAAAAAATCCATATACAATTCTTTTTCTATTGCTTAGATTTCTGAATTTTTTACAAGAATTTAACATAAGAACAAAATTTTATTTTACACTAAAACAACAGATGGGGTCAATTTGCCCCCTCTTAAGTTTTTCTGAGTTTTCATAATTTGATCCTATTTAAGTACTTATGTAATCATTCATTTGTTAGCTTTATAGAAAAATATATATAAAACCTTATATAGAATGAGAGGGGGGCAGAGTGGCCCTTTGTTGTTTCAGTAGGTTTTGCATTACCTAATTTTAATTTTTTTAAATTTAAATTTTGAAACCTTTTCTAAATCATGTTAAGGAGATGTTTTCAAGCATATGGCTCTTCCGCAGTATTTTTTTTGCCTGTTTTTTATTATTTTTTTTAATACTTAAAACTATGTTGAAATCTGCTAATATCGAGATTCATATTCTCGCAATTTTAATAACAAGCATCGATTTTCTTATTTACCTATTTTAAAAGTTACTCATTGTGAATCGTATTTAGTCTATTTAATAATCATACATCATGATTCATATTCACAGGAGTTTCAAATCCAATATCGTGATTCATATTCACGCGCTTTTAAAACCCAATTTCTCGATTAGTATTTTCTGTTTTCATTAGCGGAGAAGAGCAGAGTAGTAAAAAGCATATGCATGATTGAAGACTAAGTTTAAAATATGAATCAAAATTTGTTCATCTCAAAGACTTTCAAATAATTAATAAAAAACTTATTCGTAATATACTGGTTGATACTATTAACTACATATTTGCCCTCCGGCGTCTAACCATGAAGAGTATGACCAACATAAAAAAGGGCAAAACTGAAGAGAAGAGAGCTTCTGAAATATGTCCTTATATACCGAGTAACGAACCTCCCCGAAGCTCTGGTGCCGATCGCTGATAAACTAAGAGTTGAATGACTGCTATTCGAGGTCACGACTACAACAAGAGTGACGTTACTCTCTATACATGCTGGTTCGACACGTAAACAAACATCCGTAGCTTAAGTTGTTAAAATTCAATTCAATATTCTATTGAATTGAACTTAGAGTATCCTTAGTAGAAAAATTACTTAATATTAAAGAAATGGGACTTACTTAATATAGGGGATGGGATATACATGCTATTTGCCAACATTTTTGCTTTCTTAAAATCCAATTCATATTCACACAATTTTAAAATCCAATATCATGATTCTTGTAGGAACTAAGTTTTTTCCTAAATTAGTTATGTAAAAGTTTGATGTTCTTTATTGGAAGTAACTTAATTATAAATCTTAGTTTAAAAAATTATATTAAATATTAACAATAATATGTAAATTGATATCTTGTTATCCATTCTTTGCACACTGTTCAATTGTTTGTTTGGGTTTGACACTTTCGGGGTTTTCCACTTTGTGTCACAATCACCCCTGATTTTCTGTTTTCAGCAAGTGGGTTTGAATATTTTTGATGAATCTTTTGAAGTTTTTTGTGAGCTTTATCTTACAAAATTGCTTCAAATAAAAAAATTATTGTAACCTATATTTTTCTTTTTTAAAAAATCCAAAAAGTTTGATAGGAGAAATGAATTAAATCTGATTATTTAATTGAGCCTTAACGACAATATGCACATTTTTTATAATTTACAGAAATGGGAGCCTTAGATCGCCAAAGCGAGTTAACATCTTTGGGGAAAATCTTAGCCCGTCTTCCAATTGAACCCAGACTTGGAAAAATGCTTGTTCTCGGATGCCTATTTTCGTAAGATTTGTTTATCTCATCAAATTAATTGCATGAAGTACATTGATTATTAGTTTGAGTGTAGTGCATTAATTATGGTTTATTGTACCATCTAGGTGTGGTGATGCATTGTGTACAATTGCTGCTCATAGTAGCACTTTTCCTGAACCTTTTGACACCCCCTTTCCTAAGAGACTTGCATATGTGCACAGGAAGTTCTGTGGGAATCGTTACAGTGATCACTTGACCATGTTGAATGCATTCATACAATGGGAAGAGGCTCACATGCAGGGTGAATATGCTGAACAATCATTCTGTGAACGCTTCTCTTTGAATCTTGCCACCTTGAGAATCACTCATGATGCCAGGGTTTGTATGCTTTACTGCCTGTCAATTTTTTTTTCTGAAACTAGTTAAACATTAATTTGATTTGATTTTAATAAAAAAAAATTTTTACAGGGTGCGTAGTATTTTTAAAAAGTGCTTCAAGGTGCTTATTTTCGATTTTCGTTTTTTAAAAGCCCTTAAGGATGCTTTTTTCATTGGGTGTTTTTAAAAAGTGCTTAATTTTCCCTTTTCCAAAATAAGATTGTTTTTCTTTACCCTGTCGATTTTCGCCATGTATTATGCAAACGCTTGTTCATTGTTCTATTTAACGTTTTTAAAATTCATTAAACCGCAATCTATTTAGGTGTATTCTCGATCCATAACGTAATAAAGCTCCAATCATTTTACCTGTTTCATAAAATACTTGCAAGTCTGCTTGTGCGTCTACTCAGCTGAGTTCGGTGATATTGTTGCACTCTCATGTGCAACTCAGCTGCATTTCTCAATTTCAGGCTTCACCCTCTGATATCGAATCAAAAAATCTCTTGATCATTTTATAATGACTAATTAAGCAAAATAAAAAAAAAGAGTTCTTTGTCAGAAACTAGTTATTTAATCATGATCATGTAAAGTTTTTGAAAATTATTTTGTATTTTGTCAATGTATGTAATGTTTAAAAATATTTTTTGAGTGCTTGAAAAGTACTTAAAAGGTTCTATTTTTTTGTTGAAATATCTGACTACACACCCTGTTTTATGATCTTATTAATCAGTGTTGAATTTATACTCAGTGGTTGGTTTTGTTCCCTGTTGTTAACTGCAACTNCGCTGATTTGCGGATCAGTCAAGTTCAAAAAATTAGTTGCTTTTGAAAATTGATTCTTTACTAAACTAACCTTAAAAGTAGTTATCAGGAGTCAATATAAACTAGTAATTTTTTGTATTGCACTTTTCTCTTTACTTATTTTTTTAAAAAAGTAAGCAAGCTTTGATATGAAGTGACAACTACGGTAGTTTTGTCCCTTGTTCTGACCGCAGCTGTGCACGTGCATTCATAGAACTTATTCTTACATAGTTTGTTTAAAATTGAGTAAAAAAGAAAGATCTGAAATAATAATAAAAAAGACAAAAACTCTATTAAAAACTTGCAGATAACCATTGAAACAGTCAAAACTGATAACGTCAAAACCTTGTTGATTGACAGAGGCAATTATGAGAAACACTGTGCAACCAAGTTTCAGTATGCTTTGTTGTTTTAAGTTTCTTTTGGTGTTTTGTTTGATTTATATATCGTTTATTCGTTTATGTTTCTTCCTTGCTTAAATATTCATTTACAGCTACTAGTTCTTGTTTACTTTATTTCTTAAAAATATTTATTTAGAATGAAGAATAAAGGACATTCTGCATAGTATGCCAAATTTTGTGAACGTAAATTATGCGACAATTGCACAGTGGTTAGGGGACTGAACTATCATTGTGGATAGCTAGGGTTCTATCCAAAGTGGCAGCTTGAAGTTCCCCAATCTTCAGATAGGTGGGTTGACATTAGTAGCTTTTCCGGGAAATTAAGAAAACCCATGCACAATACTGACTATGTTGCCACTATCATGCCCATGGTGCGTAAAGTTTTAAAGAAGTGCTTAAAGGTGCTTATTTTTTACTTTTGTTTTTTAGGAGCCTTTAAATGTGCTTTTTTTATTGGGTGTTTTTTAAAAGTGCTTAATTTTTCCCTTTCAAAAATTAGATTTTTTTTCTTTAATGTCGATTTTTGTCACGTATTGAACAAAAGCATGTGCTTTTCACATTGTCAATTCAACATTTTCACAATTCATTCATTCACAATTTATTTCGGCGTCCCGTCGGTCCATAGCTTATGAAAGCACCAATCATTTTACATATTTGATGACATCCTTGAAAGTCCACATGTGCGTGTACTAAATTCGGGGGGTTGCTGAGATTCTTGCACTGTCATGTGCAACTCTGCTGCATTTTGCAAGATATTACAATTTCAGGCTTCATTTTCCAATGTCTGATATTGAACCGAAAAACCTCTTGATCATTTTATAACAGCTAATATATTCAAGAAAAGAGTTCTTAGTCAGAAACTGTTTATTTTTATAGATCATGTAAAGTCTTTGAAAATTATTTTGCATTTTAATGTACATAGTGCTTAAAAATTTTTGAGTTTTTAAAAAGTGCTTATTTTTTGTTGAAAGATTTGGCTGTGCACCCTGATGCCGCATGTCTTAAAATTGCAGCAATGGGTAGTGGAAATGCCTTACTTTTAAAATATGTATAATTTTTGTTCAATGTTAATGATAATGTATTTGAATAATTGTAGTTATTTTTTAAAAATATATATTGTATTTTTTTTTTTAATAAAACCTTTAATGCATTTTTTTTTTATTTATATCATTTCCCTTTTCTTTTACAGAATCAGCTGAAAGATCTTCTAACTACAGCTGGATTTCCTGAGCAAAACCTTGTAGCTCAAAATTATTATTTTGAGGGGAATGATTCTAAACTTGATATAGTGAGTATTTATTTTTTTAAGTCTAAATATATGAATAAAGCAATTTTTAATGTGTGCCTTTCCCAAAATAACTGCTTCACTTTTTTTTCTTTGATAATTTTTTTTTCTGATGCCTTAATATCAAATTTCATCTGGCAACATTAAAAAAGATGCTTTTTTAAGGTTTATTTAGAACTTTAAACAAAAACTGAAATAATAAGATGTTTGCTTTGTAGTAAAATGGAACAAAATTCTCAGTGTTTTAAAAAGGACCGAATTTTAGTTTTAAAGACTTGCATGAATTGCAAAATTTATAGAAACAAATTTACCTCTAATCTAAATGTCTGGGAAAATTAATTTTGATAAAGATAGCTTTAAATCTTAGTTTTTGTAACAAATTAGTCATTACAGTTTTCTTTTTAGAAAAGTTTGTTTAATTTCAGATCTAATAGCAATTATAAATATTTTGTATTATATTTTATTCATTGGAATAATTACAAAATCAATTACAAAAATCAGGTAAATTTTATAAATTAAATCTGAAGAAGTCAAAGAATTTTCTTTCTGAGTTTTTGTTCACTGTATTAATTAGAAATTAAAATCATCGTAGAAAACATTACTTGCTTGCAATCAGCATAGTACCCCTGCAGCAGAATTTTTTGGGGCATTCTGCGACATACCTCTCTAATATTAATATCTTTTGGCAAAGTACTTTGAAAAATAACAAATATACATGTTGCTAAATTAAAGTGACAAAAGTGTCAACTTCAAAAAAGAAAAAAAACTTTGGGTTCAAACAAAATAATTTTTTAATTATATAATAAATTTTATTCTAATATTATGGACGATATTCTCTAATTTTGTAAGGGAAAAACACTTAATTATTTCTTTTTTCGCATTTTGTAAATCATCATCAATTTTTTTTTAAAAAAAAACTGCTAAATTACGCTAATCAGACTCTTTGAAAAAATGTTACTGAATAAGTGTTTTCGTTTTGAGATTCAGTTGTAATAAATTATATCATATTGAAAGTATCGGATTTTAAAAACTATGAAAAAATTATTAGTGATAACTGCATAAAAAAAATTAGAACAAAAATTTCTGTAGAAAAGAAAACCAAATTTACTTCATTATTCACTATTTTTCATTATTCTCAAGTGAGAATAGAAAAATCACAAGCATTTTTTTCCACTCCAATGCACTCAAGAGACATCTTTTGAATAAAATTCTGAAGTAAAGTTAAAACTATTGAAAATTTCTGGGGGGAAAAACCCAAATTTTTTTACTTTGCAAAAGAAAAATCTTTCTGCAAGAACTCTGTAATGTTCTGCAACAATGTCGCCCCGGGGATAGTACCATCTTGTGAAAAATGGCAGAATGAGGAACAACTGTGGTTTTTGTTTACCAGTATTTACAGAATACTTGTACTGTATGCTTGCATGTGCCTTCTTCCTTCTGTTTTAAAAGAAAGAAAAAATTGCATTTTCAGGTAACAGAAACTATAGTTTGTCTAAAGTAAGAACTCCCCTAACCATTTGCCTGAACCCATGACAGTGACCATGGTATAACTATTTCAAGTAAGGGTTTGGGGTCACAGTTTGGAACAGGTTTTGGAGAGGGGAAGAAAATCTTTTTCTTCGATCTACTGTGTTTGCCCTGGAGTGAAGAGGAGCTGTCCTCCCCGAAATGCGCTATTCTTGTTTCCATAGCAGCAGACGAGCTCTGACTTTGTGGTGGGGAGAGTTCTTACCATAGACAAACTATACGTGCATGCTCCTATGGTTAAAAGGAATATTTTATTTTAAAATTGGTTTACTTAATTATTAACTTAGTTTATTTTTTCTTTCTTTCTAGGTTGCTGCTCTCTTGGCTATGGGACACTTTCCAAATGTTTGTTTCCACAAAGAGAAAAGGAAGGTAATTACAACTGAAGGAAGAGCCGCTTTGATTCATAAATCTTCCGTTAATAACACAAATTCTCCTGGAAAGTTCCCTTCTCCCTTTTTCGTGTTTGGAGAAAAGGTAAGTAATTAGTAATTTGTCTAATTTAAACAGCCCAAACTGACTCATTTACATAATAAGTCAGTTTTAAGGATAATTATATAGTGTAAGAAGTTTTGTTTTCATTAATAGTTTAGCTTTTACAGTAAAAAATCTATATAACAAATTTACGATCTCTGTAAAGCCAGTGTTTTCATTACAGCGCGAGAATCTCGCATATTTTTTTCTTTTCTTGCATTAAAAAATTATTACCGCGAGAAATTCGCTCATTCTATAAATCAATTTCAAAATTCTCGAATTTTGGAAAAAGCTTCAAATTACGCCATTTAGAATAAAATCTGTTTCACTTTTCTTCTTGGATCTTTCATTATTTTCAACATCTGCCTCGTTATCTAGCTTCCCTATTTACCAGTATTGTTCAGAACCTTTTTGAACAACAGAACACAACCACACAGCCTCTTTCAGAACACATTTCTCTGCAACCACGTGTTTACTGTAGGTAAGGTTTCTTCATGTAAAAGGTTCAAATTTTTTATGCACTAATGTAAGATGGACAAATACCTTGTAAGGGCAAAATCTTCTATGATGATGCACCAAAAATATTCAATGCTTTAAAAAAAAGATGTTAAAAATGTATTATAATTAAAGAAATGATTTTTTTTCAAGAATTTTTTAGTTTTTAGAAATCTCACTTAACTTTTTGGATTCTCACCCTGTTTTTGAGAAAGGGTAAAAAATTCTGACCCATTTTTTTTCTATGATGAAAACACTGAAAGCAATATAAAATTGATATTTTTGCTGGATTTTATTCAAATGTTCTTAATAATTTAATTATTTTTATTACAAATAATAAGTAACCAAAAGTATATTTTGTGTTTCAAAATATTTTTTAAAATTTTTTTAAAAACATTAATGGTGATTTGTTCCAGTTATATATTACCATGGATAGATGTAAAATTTAATGATACATGAAATGATCTATCTAACACAAAAATTGCATATAGTGATATCCCCACATTTCAATGTTTGCGTTAACAGGTTCTTCTACTGTATATTCAATTTAATTTTTGTTTAGAAGATTAAAACAAATCATGACACATCAGATATTTTAAATTATGTGTAGTCATGCTTCTTTTTTAAAGAAAAAGTAAGTTAAATTTGTGTATAAATTTAAAAAAAATATGTTGCTTCTAAGGGAATAAACCCCAAATTAGTGCAGAAAAACAGACAGACTCTATTGTATACTTATTTTTCTGCCATTATTTGTGCTTAATTCTTTCTTAGCTTTATTTATATAGCACTAAGCAAACCCTATATTTATTTGATTAGCACTACTATTATCAGAATATTGTGATTATCTGAAGTTGGTCCTGTCACACCTACTTCAAATAATCAAGGTCTGCATAAGATTTACAAATCTTTAAAGTTTAATCGGAACAACTTTTAAAACTTTTTTTTTTGTGTGTTCTTAAAATTAAAATTTTCTGAATCTAATTCATTTTCACTAAACGTTCAAATCTTGATTATGAGCTGTTTAAATATTGCATAGGCATATTTTGAGGAATCCTCTTCCCATATCAAGACCCGATCCTTTGTTTGCTTTGATTTTTACTCTAGCAATCTAATTTTAGCATTAAATTTAAATAGAGTATGTCTAAACAAATAAAACTTTGCATAAATCAAAATTTATGTTTTAATTTATTTTATAAAATTTTGAGTTGAAGGATTTTATTGTCTGACATAAGCATTCATCATTATATTTCTCCTCACCCTTGTTTGTGAAATAAGCAAATCACAAACACCCTCCCCCTGTTAAATTCTTGTGTAATATTTAAACCATCCTTAACAGCAAAATAACTTGGGTCCTTATTGAACCAATATTCACGAATCTTGGATCAATAAGGGTTCAAAGAGCTGATATTTTACTGCCACTTTACAACCAATATTGGCCCTTTATAGAATTGTCAGATTCATCCAATATCAGGGCTCGAAAAACAGCCCGTCCGCCCGTCCTCGACGGTCAAAAATTCTCCACGGACAATGAGTTTCTCGAATCTGACGTCCGCACGGATGGCCATTTTCCCGTTAATGTTCGTGATACATTTTCAATTTTTGTTATCTTACAAGAGTCTTGTAAGTTACAGCATAGCAAAATGACCCACAATACAGCAACATACTTCGCATATATTGATGTTTTCTCTGTCTGGGAGTACTGCAGCGGTTGAAAGGGGCTTTGCAGCAATAAACTTACAAAAAAACACAATACGTACTGGTCTTAAACAAGAAGCTTTAAAAGCAATTATGAACATCTACCTAAATGGAAAACCC